TATGAAGCGTTTCGCCGCAGAACTTCGGGGAGGACTTGTAAAGCGTGATGATCGCGTGTAATAACCCGCACTACTAAAGGAACGTGGTCGTTCAGATCCACTGCCTCCACTGCCAGGCCGACTCCCTCCCGTGCTGCCGCCTCCACCGCCGCTGTAACTTCCCCGGCGCCCATCGTCGGGTTCGAGGTTGAAACGGTGACGGGGCACAGCGCGGGGCGGAGGTGGTGGGGGTTGCGCATATTGCGGTGGATCTGGTGCTGGAGCGGGCACGGGACCGTCGAAGGAGAATTCGCGGAATTTCACGTCGGGTGTTGCGGGTGTTCGAGAGTGAGAACGTTCTTCTCGGCGGCGGCTTCTTGCTGCTGCTTCGGAATGCGACATCGTTGACCGTTGCGGGCGGGACTCGTAGCTTCGTCGTGGTGCCGCGGGTGAGAGTTCTCGTGCTGGTTTACGCATATACGCGTCGTGAGAGTGGCGACGGGCTCGGGAATTTGAAGGGGGCGACAGGTTGTGATTGTGAGATCGGTGCTTGGACTTAGGAGGTTCGGGCTCTTCCACGTGTGGTGGGGGGTCGTGGTCTATTATATCTGGGAAGACTGGACCGTCGGTCATCCCTGGGCTGAGTGGATGGCCATACAAACTTTCGCGATCTCGACCTCTTGAGCGCGGTGGGCGAGTTGTCCGTGGGGAGGGCGATCGGACGCGAGGAGTTGACATCCCTGATCTTCCACCGTTGGTACGTTCCGACCTCCGTGAGCTGGATGGAGGGTGCTCCCGCTCAAGCGTCGGTGGTGGTGATGGCGTCGCCGACTCGGTCGATCTGAGTCGTATTGTCCACCATGGCGATGCGATGCCGCACGACGGGGTGGGTGTGTGAAATAGTCTTCCTCATCGGGCAGAGATTCCTTGCCGCTGAAATGATAGTGGAATGCACCGAAGTTAGGAGGAGATGCACGGTGGGCCTGTCTCTTTACGAAGTCGTATTCAAGCTTGCGACACACGCCTTCATGCCACTGGAGCATTTCAGGGTCGGGTTCAGATGGGAACGCATCTCGCGGGAGGTCCTTCGGGAAGACATCACCTTTCGCATCGACGATATTCCACTGGTTTACTGCGTTCTGCAGAAAGCGTGCATGCTCATCCGGGTCCATCAAAAGCTGTATTGTCTGCCATCGTACAAAACCGAGTGGTAGGAGCGAGGGTACTGAGGGTGACTCGTACGGGTTATTGGAGGGCTGGAGGCTGTGGAAACATCCGACGGATTGGTATATAAACGAAAGGGCTTGCGACTTGGTCTCGAGAAATAGCGAGTCGTAGTTGCCGCCGACCTTGCGATAGAAAGACGCTAGTCGTTCAGGAGTGAGATCGATAGTACCGCTGGAGTCAAAGGAAGGCTGTGGTGAAGGGAAGGGCATTAGTACGGGGCGCATGCAAATCGAACGGGTGAACCGTGGGCCCCAGAGAGCTTCCAATGTTCTCGAACATGGGGCCGCGGGTTTCAAGGAGTGGGCGTACCATTAGTTGGGCGATCCCCAAACATAACTGTTCCAATAGCGGCGCAGGGCTCTTGTCGGGATTGATTAGGGTTCCCCAGGAGTTCGCCGCGAAAGACATGGCAGGCTGGGGGCTGGCGCAGTTGGAAGAGCATGCAGAGGAACTTGAAGATTCCAGGGCATCGCCGGGCGCAGAAGCAGAATAAAGGCACAAGGCAGTGCGATCATCCCCAGGCAGCGAGGAGCGGTCAGGCACGCACATGGACCCACTGCGGGGGATTGGAGAGGCTCGAGGGGGCGTCACGATAATCAGATGCGAATTGGATGACTCCTAGCGTGAGTCACAATAGGCAGTCAGTGCGGATAGCGAAGGCACAGTAGTGCTAGACTGTGATCGAGGGTGACAGGGTAACAAGAAAGCTGAGAAGATGAGATGATGAAGTGAAGTGCTCAGCTGGCGAGGAAGTCAGCCGTGCCTGCCATGTGCCAAGTCACGGGATATCAGGCCACTCGTAGTAGTATACTAGTAGTAGTATTACTAGGTATTAGTAGTAGTATTAATACTTACGATAATATTCTATAGGGATGGCAATAATATAGACATTATCTGTCCCACTTATACTGCATCAATTCGATGTTTCATGCAGACTTGACACTATACATATCAGGCACAGTCGGGCTGAAAGATGCCCAATGAAGCACGTCAGAGTCGGACTGCGCAAATATCACACTTGCATGAAATAGGACATTCTAATTGAAACCTTTGCATTAGTATACATTAATCTCGCATGGCTGTATGGCTGGCAGCAACAGTCAGGCAGCAAGATCGGAACTTTCGCGCATGCATCCCGGCTTATCCACCCACCACATCAAGCGGTACAAATTCTAGAACCTCAATCTGTCCAATCTAAAAAACTCTACATAAAGTAGTTTAATACTGACCCTACAAAAAATATACAATGGGAGAAGCCATCCCACCTAGCAAGATCTGTACAAAAATAGGATATGGCATCCATGCTTTCTTACAAAGAACTGATGGATGATAGTTACCACTAGTTAGTAGGATTGTACCTAGGTATGCTATTGGTAAAGCCAAGGCGCCCGATTCGAATGCCTGGAAAACGGACCAGGTACCTCCCTGTCTTTGTTTGGCTGCATAGCACTGTCATTGAGATTCTTTCCCATTCCCCAACAAAATAAAACCATAATGCCTCACACCCCCACCAGAGACGATGATAGATTTCTACAAAACTGGCATAAATTATTTCTCAGAATTGTTCTCGCCACCTACACTCTTTCAATTTTCCTCAGTCCATAGTGCCAAGAACCCGTTTCGAAATGAGGAGGTCGTCCAAAACAAATGACGCTCTAATTCAACAACGAAATGAAGAGTTCTATAAAAGTAAAGCATGAAACATTCATAAAATATAAAAGCATTAACCCAATAAGACCGTGCGTGATTGGGCTTTTATGGTTGTGGTTCAAAGCCCAGGTGATAGATAAATCATTCTGGCAGTGCATCGATGGCTAGCCTAAGCGTCAGTCCCCTGAACATACGGTTATTGAGCTTGGCATATTTCAAATATATGGTCATCGAAGCTACTAGTTTTGCTGCCTCTTTATATGACAAGTATGGCTTCGACATGAAACATACGCTACTTTGTGTTGAGTGAACATCACGTTACAGACTTCTGTTAACTTCTGGTAACGATGACCTATCGACACCATACCTAACTGAAATTATTACACATGGGTGCGGATTTGTGGTATTCAATCACGAGCCTTAATATTCTGTAGCATACAGAACAATCATGAGCTACGGCTGATTTCTTGATGCCTTAGGTTTATACATCCGCATGGCGAGCTCATCAGTTGAACCCCTGCGGTCGCAGACGTGCGCGAAGCCTTGTCAGGTCACCAGCGGAAGACACTTGAGAGATATGAGCGGAAAAGGCGTCCCCATATTCTTTCCAGCAAGTATCTCTTAATACAGTGCCCAGTCTCATGATCTCAGGCGCTCGCGCTCGCTCTCGCTCTCGCCCTATACTGCTTCCGCTTTTCGGATGTAACAACCAACGAATCCAAATTGTGAACCTTTTTGTCTGAGATCTCGAACCGTGGGCCTTCTGCCACAAGACCCGGCTAGATGTCATTTCCCTGGCTTGCAGTGCGAATTAAATTTATGCCGCCAGTAGAGAGCGATCCTATCACTACTTTAGCGGAAACATTTTATTACTTAACTGGTAGTAATTCCAGCTTAGGAAAAAGGAAGGCCATCTCTGCTGGTATCAGTACTTGTATCTCAATTATCTTGATGTCATCTGATTAAGCTTATAGCCATGCTTTCATTTAGAACTGATAGGCGCATTCGAGCAATACTGGTAGACATGAGAGAAGGTAAAAGTGCAGAGGTCTAGTTCCTGTAACTCATTTAATGCCTATACTGGATACAGGAATATAGGTATGCATCATCTCCTTATGTGTCTTAATACTAATATCTCTTGGCTTCTGGGCTTGGCAGCGGGTTTGCGGGGATTTGCCACCCTGTATCATGGTGACGGTAGGACTCAAGGTTGATTTTCTATTTCCTAAAATCGATCCGCCGAAGGTAGACCTATCGAAATCGAATATTGGCTGATCTAAATGATAGGATTATCTCTGAGATAAACCTTTTCCTAACCAGATTCGTCGAAGGTTTACGGAAGACAGGATTTGATTTTTCTACGCCTACTAATCACAGCCCTGTGGCTTGAGGACCAGACGTGGTCGCTTTATACATTTCTAGTAACTCGAACACGAAGTCATGCGACCTTATCAAGCGACTATCTATCGACGATCTATCGAACGTAAAGTACTCCACTCGGTACCATCCTGCCTAAGTCGAACTTCAGAAATTTTTATAGCTGCTCAATATCCATTTACTTGGCCATTGCTAGATATCTGGCTGTCTGTGCACGGTTTCCTACAAAGCTGAGCTTGCCACAGAAGATGTCTTCATCTACATACGTTGGCTGCTACTCAAAAAGCTCTGGCCTCGAGAACCAAACAACATACATATATCAAAGCTTTGGATGGTGTTTACAACAATGTGTCAAAACTCACGCAGCCTCTTTTGCCCTTACCGGAGGTTCCGACTGCTTGTGTGGCAACGAACTACCTCCAAACCAGACTAAAGTTGCTCAAGAAAGGTGCGATCGGGCATGTAGTGGATTTCTCTCTGATATGTGTATGATCAACTTTACCATATTCATCTGATTCCACTGCTCACTGTTGATAGGTGGTGGAGATGGCTTTTATTCAGTGTATACAACAGGCCTGAAAAAAAGCGTCCCGACGTACAACGAGTCCCAGAGTCCCACATCGACAAATACTGACGCCTCGCAGTCAAAAGTGACAGCTTCGAGTGAGACGTCAGTCGGGAAAACTCCGGAACCGCCCTCGAAAAGTCACAATACAACTGCAATCATTGTAGGTGTCGTGGTTGGAGTGTGTGCACTTGCTGCCCTCATGGGCGCTGCGTTCTTCTGGTGGCTATCAAGAAGACACAAACGCCAAACTGATTCCGATTCCCACTCTGATGACACCACAACGAAGAATGGCAACAATTCAAACATATTGCCCTTTGGTGATCCCCGGCTTAATGGTGCCTACATGACACAATGCTACCACAGCAATGGTAGTCTTAATGAATACAATGACTATTCTCGTCGTATCTTACATGTGAGTCTTCGTGAAATCCTTTATATAACGACCCAACTTGACGTGAAAATAGGTGACCAACCCGAGCAATTGAACGAAGAGGATTAAGTGGACTGTCATGGGAGGATCTTTCAGCTGCATATTTTTCTTACGGACATCTCTCTACACACCAAAGCCCACACGGAGCTTACATCAATTTGTTGAATTTCAATGGCAGTGTCCTTCGAATAACTCATCAACATATTGAGCCAATGATCGCAATCGAGATTATTCTCAATTTGCCTTCCACTGTGAAAATCTGAGGGAGGGTGAGATTAATAAAATGGGAGGCCCGCTGAATTGTACATCACGTTTGATGGGTTACATTTTCACGTCAGGTTCCAACAAACACACATGTATGCCCCAAAACATCAGAAACCACATGGTATTGACATGATCTTTTAAGCATCTGTATCTGGCAAAATTCAGGAATTGATCATTGCAAAAGTTGATCTAGTACGGCCAAGTATGTCTTGGCGTTGGAGCTTAGACAATGAAAGTGTGTAGGTTGCCGATTCCCGGAAATACTATAACTATACAGGGGACATTTCCTCTTTATATTCAAGTTCAGACGATATACCACCCTTGCAGTTTTCCATCTGTGGGTTTACAGGCACGCCCAATACAATCTCGTTGGCCCGCAGAACTCAGGCGAACCAACCACCCGGGTCGCCTTCTAACAATGATCATTGAGGTGGACCTGGAGTAATCTTATGAATTTGCTCACCTCGAGATTAACTATCTGATTTATTTATGTGAGAGCTGGCGCATACGCAATGCTACGCCGTCCAAAGCGAGAAATTTGGCCACGAGTACACCGCATCCGCTACATTGACTGGTACCCCCGAGGGATCCAATGGCCCGAAATCAACATCTGGCTGCGCCAAAAAGTCCTCCATACTTTGATCCAAAAATATCATCTCGTCTGTCAGACTCCCCGGTTCCGGAGCATCGGGCAAAGCCGGATTTACGCCCAAAGATGTTTCACTGGGTCCATGCGCCGGGCCAGGTAAAAGTGAGAGAGAATCGGAATTTCCATGCCTTGGAAGATGTGAGCTCGACGATGCGTGTCGGGTCGTGAATCCCTGGGCCTCGTCTAGACACTCTCGCACACTTTCTAGATTGTCGTAGAACTCCGTTGCAGCAAGGTTTCCGTGGTCGCGCATCATGCGCAGAATTTCATAGGCAGTTTCGAATAAGGCGAAATCGCTGTGATTATCTGAGTTGATTTGACTCGATATTACCATAATCAGTGCGCCAGAGAAGAGATAATGTGCGTAGAAGTAACCGTAGATCGGAAGGGAGCCATTTGCCCACTCCTCGACAATTAGCGAGTGTGTATGTCTTGCAGCATGAAGGCATGCGTCACCCAGCGTCTTCAGGGTTTGTTCTTTTTGCTTGGTGGACTGGTTTGAGTCTTCTTCGGGGTCTTTTCTGGATTGAATGAGTGTGAAAAGCAAAATAGGTCGAGTTGCTAACATAATGCACTGCACAGGTTAGAACTCCATATACTTTTTTTACTGGACGAATAGTGGAACTCTTACCTGGTTAAATTGAAGGTGCAGAGATACCACATTTCCGGGAGCATGGCTGTTCCTATTGAGTCGAAGATGCGAAGGAAGGTTTTGCGACCATTCCTTCAAGGAGATAAGTAGCTTTTGCTCTCGTTGCAAAAAAGAATCCGGCTGCTTCTTTCGACTATAGACTTTCTCAGTCACCTGGCCTGTTATCCGAGCCAGCTGAATACTGGCGAGGAGAAATTCAGTATCGGAAAATTGGTCTTCGCGTGGGTCGCAGGCTATTTTCGATGGCATTTCGACATGGATGTCATCGTCGGCAATTTGAATGGGCCAACCCGTTTTTGATCCATACATTCGATCAAAAACATAGATTGCCCACCACAGACGAATTCGGTGTTGGCGCTCGACAGGATCTGGGCAGTTGCATTCAGGGATATCGTGATTCAATCCCAAAGTCAACCCAAGACGCATTGCGTTACCGACGAGGAGGAATGCGGAATGGCGTCGGTTCAGAAAGTAGGAGTATAAAGACTGAACGGTTAGCCGTGGAATTCAAGAACGATAAAGATACACTTACCAAAATGAGTAAAGACTCGATGACGGTCATACTCGGCCTCTCGGGGAGTATGGGAATTAGAGTCATTGCATTCACATAGTACGAAGCACCGGGAACTCCGCATTCTAGTTTAGAATTGGAACGTGCGGAATAGACCTCACCCATGGCAAAAAGAGCGAAGAATTTTGTCTTCAATATCGGATCATCGAAGCTTCCTTTGCGATAGACGTCCTCCAATTCTTGAATCGTCGATTTTCTGAGAAACAGGTGATATACACGGCTAACCTGATTGACGACAATTTGAATTAATAGGCGCGCCTGTGGCAATCCCGGCCATTCCAAAGTTGAATCGCGGATTTTGTACAACGTTGCTTCGGGAGTATACTGTGTCCTCGGCATATGCGACGCCCTGCTCTGGGTGAGGACTTGACGCAAGCGAGTCGCAAAGGCAGTGCACGCTGCTTCTCCGATATGAATTGGTGGAGCAGAAGGGTCATAGGGCTGAAACCACCCTCTTTCGCCAATCATAGGGTTCTGTACGACTGCATCACCATCCGAAACATGGCCATCTGCCGGAAGTTAGCCAGTTGTTTGGCGAAGCACGTGCGATGGGGAATGCTTCACCTTCATGATAGTGTGAAGACTGGCTCAGAGTTGCCGGTGATAGTGAGAGTTGCTCACGCAGCCGTTCATTTTCAGCGGCCAGTTGATCGAGATAGCTGCAAAATCTTAGTATGAATCTAGTGGGTGGAGCAGGATCAAATCACACTCACCTCTCGTGGACCTTAATCTGACGATCCCGATTAACATAGGTACATTCGGTAGCACGTCCAGCATTGCGGCACTTGGTGCACGGTTGTTCGCCAGAACATTTGATCTTGTGCGTGTGACATCTTTGGCAACTGGGCTAGTTAGCGTAAGTATGACTACGGTGGAGGCAGGACTTACGCGATGGACTTTTTCTTTTTCCCTTTCACGACCGAATGATTCGGTGCTCTTGATGAGGAGGTACGCATTTATGCCGAGCTCGGTATCACTAGGCAAATATGCGTATGTAGGTGTGTAGTGGTATGCGTTCGGTGAAATTCTGTTCGGGGAGTGCTTCGGCGGTCGGTAAGATTACACTTCGCCGAGTGGCGATTCCGATGGTTCCGGATTGACATAATTCCACCCGTGGACTACTAGTAGAATATTAAACGCACATTATAATTAATAGAGTTAGAACTATATACTTAAGTTCTAGGCTTAGTTTAATCTACTACTTGATTGTTGAGTTGTATAGAGAAATGCGCTTTCTGGTTTACTCGCGACATATATATAAAATACGATTGCTTCCAGGGTTATTACTTTATTGCTTCTTCGTCCAGATGAACACGATTTTCTCGTACAATCCGATGCCCGCAATTCCGAGCCAATAACAACCTTGGAAACTACCTACTAGGTACTCAAAGTTGAAGGTGGAAAAATTTCAACCTCACTTGAGCCTTCCAAGGTTCGAATCAGAAGTTCCAGAAACGACGCCTTCCAGGAACAATCCCCAGCGATGAATCTCGGCGTTCGTCGCACTGGATTGGCTGTAATGAACCGGTGACCGACTCTACTGGCCGATTTGCCTGGTCCGTCGCCGAGCGTCGGTGAATATATACTAGTAGCTGCCCATGTGAAAGTAGCCCTTCTTAATGAATCGAAAACCATCACAGATCATGAAAAGACCTTCAGTGGAAATCTCCGTCCACAATTTGAATTCTTCCGAGTCTGGGTCGTCGTTTTACAAAACAGACGATGTAATTCAAGGCGAAGTTCTCTTTGCACCACATCATGCAACGCGACTGGAAAACATCAATATTACTTTCCAGGGTATTTTGAGAGCAGTACCACCCATTTATAAACGCCAGTAGAAACAGCTAACTCGAAAATAGGAAACATGACAACGGAAACGGAGAACCTGGATAACCATCTTCCCGTCTCGCCTAACACCCTACGGAAGACATTCTTGCGTGTCGACTTCCCGGTAGAAGAATATGTGCCCGAAGCAATCCTCGAGCCGAAAGAAATATATCGAATCCCCTTCAGTTTTGTCGTGCCTTCTCATATCCCGGCGCAAATATGCCACCATACCTGCGCGAATTGCCAAGTTCACGAAGAACACCTGCAACTTCCCCCGAGCCTAGGCAAAATATCGCAATACTTTGAGAATACCCACGACATGGCGCCATCCGAAGCAGAGATTCAATATAGCATCAGCTTTTCAGTCGTTGAGAAGATGTCGCAGGCAGAATGGCCGAAAGCCCTCAATGAAACAATCTATCCGATTTACATATTGCCTCGACGATCGGAGATGGCCCCGCTCCTACTCTATCCGGAAAGCAGATACTACAAAACAAGAGCAGAAAAGGGCCTCAAAAAAGGGAATCCTGCGATCGGAAGTCGGAACTATGGTGCTATCAACTTTCCAGCCACAAGGAATCGAGTTGTGCCGCGGACCGCAACCCCAAAATAGCATCGAAGCGTCAACGACAGTGCGAATCAACCTTCGATTCGAGCCAGCATGTGAAAAACAGCTCCCACCTCGCATGGTATCAAGCGAAATCAAACTCAAAGCAATGACATTCTTCGGCATGGAGCCATGGTTTAACTTTCCCGATCATTCGGGACCATCGGCTTGGGGCTCCAGGCAGGCATATTGGTCTGAAACAGTCTCGCTACAGCAACAAAACTGTGTTATAGATTGGAGAAAACAAGCGAAGGCAGATGGAAGCGATTTGACGTTATTTTATACGGCCTCTGTTGATATTTCAGTCGCATTGCCAGATACCCTGGTGTATCCGCCTACTTTTCACTCGTGTTTTATTTCCAGGGTGTATGCCCTCAAGACGATACTCTCATATCGGGATCATAGCAAGGCCCGAGGTAATTCCTCTGCGTCTTTGACCGTTCCTTTGCAGATTTATGTGTCGTGAGGGGAGGTGCCAGTCGTAAGCGAATGAGCTCAATTTCTTTGCGTTGACGAGATACCCAATGGTTTATTTACTTTATCAGCAGCCCCTAAATTGGGTTAATCTATATTACTATTATTTATGGTTCATCGAGAAACACCGGGAAGGAGAAGAAACTGTGCTCGTTGTTGATTCCACGCGTCATTGGCTCGAATTGTACCCCTTGATGCCAACAATCAATCAACCCCGTAAATTAAGCTTCTGCCACGGATCTGATGACAATAAAGTTCAAAGAATCATTGGTCATGTTTCGATAATGTAGACGGCAGAAGAAATTTCAGATCGGTTCTCAGGATCCCAGCCAATACATGCTCTGCATATCGAAAGAGATCCGCCCAACGGCACCGCACGACATCCAGCCACCAGATGTGCCGCATGTCGATAGTCGATCAATACGATGTGCATTCCAAAGAATTAGTCCATGACTCTTCATTGGCTCGGTCCCACCGACAACTTCTACCATCAGCAGGCAATGAGCCCCTTCATTCCGGATCGGCATACCGTGTCGACGAGCGGTATTTCTCAACAGAATAGCAGGATTCTATTGGGCGATATGGAAACCATGACAACTATCCACGTTCAACGGGCTAGAATTACCTCTTATCCCTGTGTTTATGGGGGAATACTCACATATCCGAGCCGGGCCAGACGGGCCAGATATGAGCTGCCTTGTCCGCCCAGCCCCCAGAGAGAGGCAGCATGGCTGGCGCTGGATTCCTCGGCCTGCATCTGATCGCACAGCCCTTCTTTCCATTAGTTAAGTGTGCTGGATCCCCTCTGTCCCTCTATCTAATCTTTGGCCCTCCCCGCTCACACCATTTCAACGGTCGCACATACCCTCACCATACCACTTGTCAATCTGTCCGAAATCATCTGGAAACACTTCATCCACACGATCCTCAGAAATAGAAGGAGCTATTCCAAGCCTTTGTCAAGAAAAAAATCACACTCCGAACCGCCTTAAGTTCCAGCAAGGGGTGTCAACAACCCGCCTTGCAGCAAAACAACAACCAAAGCACTTCTGCGATTCCTCCATCTATCATCGGTCTACATCTAGAATGGCACTCGTCCGCGACCCATACTTCTGGAAGCGATTCTCCACAGCTGTCCACAGAGATGACCAAGCAAAAACACAAAGCCAACTAGATCTCGAACAAGCCATCAAGAAGTGAGACCCTTCCTTTCCCCGGTTGACTCTTATTCAAATGCCCGTTGACTAACAAGTAATACAGACAACCCGACTCCTGGCTCGAACGAGAACGACAAAAACGCAAGCGCTCGCTTATCTGCGGATTCATCATCTTCTTCTGCATTATTTTGGCGGTGACTGGCGGTGTGGTTGTGTGGTGGTTAGCCAAACACAACTGGCTGCAGTCACCGGAGCCGTGAATGAATGAGCGAGGCCAAAGAAGAAAAGAAAACACGAACATGATAGAACCATTCTTTCTTTGGCGATGTTTTTTTTGAGTTTTGCATTTCTAGCGATAATTGGCGTTGGAAGGAATTGGAGATATACCCGCCGCAACTCCAGCGGCATCGAGATAGATTGGGAAATATTGGTAGTTTATATAGCACTATGATAGGACTGAATGAAAATAAATAATAGAAGATAAGAGAACCAAATCAGTTCCCTCTTTACCTAGGTACTAGTTACTACTACTATATGTCTAGATTAGCATCTACTAGTATATATTCGGTCCCAATTGGGAAGCTGGACGCATGCTTGCCCAGGTCACGGTGCACATTGGAACTCCAACTTCCAATCTCATAGTAGTAAGCTGGGAATGGCAAACTATACCAAATTAAAATGGTTCGGTTCACTTCACTTCCAGTCTCCAGCTAGTCTTAATACACCCCTGCATACTACTCTACTGAGTAGCCCTGGCTATCGGCGGACTAAACCCCGCTGCGGCCAGCCTCGGCGATCGCATCGGATGGGACGGGCTTATCGCAACTCCCCACACTCCCTTCCCCGCACATTCGCTCTCCTCTTTTGTCTCCTCCAACTTCCTCTTCTTTTTAACTCTCTCTTCTCCCCCTTCATACCTCAAGGGTCACCTCTGTTGTATCCAACTACAACATCCATCATGCTGCCCCCATTCGACTATTTCACTTACCGCCGTATACGGTATGTCTTCTTCGGCCTATAGCTCCCACAGCTCCCCCCAGCACTCGGAACATCAGCTAACTCCACACCAGCAATCAAAAACAAGCGGAACGTGCTGCCCGGTTTACCTCATTACCATACCCCTACCACCTTCACATCACCGAGGCCGACAAGGAGATCATCGATCGACCAATCGAGAACTTGGTACGCGATGTCCAAGCCGACACCACCTCCCCGCTGAACGTCCTGCGCACATACGGCAAAGTTGCGGTGAGAGCGCAGAAGCGCACCAACTGCATTACAGAACTACTTCTTCCTGAGGCAGAGTCATGGCTCAAGTCCGATATCAACTTGAAGGGACCCCTTGCGGGAATCCCCGTGTCTCTCAAGGATTCAATCCAGGTCAAGGGGTTTGATACAAGCGTCGGCTACGCGGCATTCGCAAATAAGCCAGCCCAAGAAGATGGTCCCATGGCGCGGCTACTCAAGGATGCCGGTAAGTGCTTTAAAGAATGACTCGGGATACCATCATATCGTCCATACTGACCAGGTCGTAGGAGCTGTGCCCTATGCGAAGACCGCATTGCCGATTACTTTGCTCTCTTTTGAGTCTGCCAATGGCCTTTGGGGCACCTGCTTGAACCCCCATATCCCAGGTTACTCTCCCGGTGGCTCGACTGGCGGAGAAGCTGCCCTTCTGGCGCTGGGTGGTCGTATCGGCATTGGCTCTGATGTTGCTGGATCGGTCCGTGTCCCTGCTGCATGGAGTGGAATCTACTCGCTGCGCTGCAGTACTGGTCGCTGGCCCAAGGCTGGTGTCAGCACCAGCATGCCTGGCCAAGAAGGTATTCCCAGTGTCTTCAGCCCAATGGCTCGCACCCTGAATGACCTGACCTACTTCACGCGTGCGATCATCAACATGAAGCCTTGGAAGTATGATCATTCGGTGCACCCCATTTCGTGGCGTGGAGATCTCGAGACCGAAGCTCAGAGCAAGCCTCTCCGCATTGGTCTGATGAGCAATGATGGTATGTCTCTACGATTCTCTTCCAGCAAACAACCCTTCAGCATAGACTAACTCACTTTCCAGGCGTCGTACCCCCAACACCCGCCATCGAACGCGCCGTTGCAACGACCGTCGCAGCTCTAACTGAAGCCGGCCACACGGTCTCAGAAATCACTACCCCATCCAATGCAGACCCATTCACCGGCCTAAACCTCGCATCTCAACTCCTCAATTCCGACGGCTGCCACCACTTCGAGTCCAACCTACACACCTTCGAGCCATCAGACCCAGGCGCAAACCAACTCCGCCGAGTTGCCCACCTCCCCGGACCCATCCGCTACCTCTACTACCTGTACGTACGCTACATCAAGCGCGACAAAGTCCTCGCAACCCTAATTCGCAACTTCGGCCCCAAAACCGCCGCCCAATTATGGCCACTAACCGCCGCCCGCGAGTCATTCCGCGCAACCTGGCACCAATGGTGGGACGCGGAAAGCCAACAATATGACTTCATTCTGTGCCCAGTTAATGCGACGCCCGCACTACCGCACAAAGCCATGCACGACGCCGTCTCCTCGTGCGGCTACACGTTTTTGTGGAACCTGCTAGATTACTCCGCCGGCGTGATACCGGTCGGCCACGTGGATGCTGTGCGTGATGCTCTTGTTACCCCTTATAAGACGGTGCTGAAACGACTGGGTGCGGATAATGCTATTGCGCGTGGAGCGTGGAAGCATTATGATTCTGGGAAGATGGCGGGTTTGCCTACGGCTGTGCAGATTGTTGGGAGGAGATGGCAGGAGGAGCAGGTCTTGGGGTATATGGCTGCGGTGGAGAAGGCTTTGGAAGTTTATATTGATCCGGCGACTGGGGGGAGTGCGAAGTATTCTTTGCTGGATATTGATTAGGTGGTGCGATGGGGTGACTAATGTTGTTTATCACCAGATTGTGTTTTTTACAATAACTGCCAGTGGTGTTTACACAGTCCATGCAGTGGTAGTATAATGGCAGAATGGAATATTCCAAGAACAACACCAACTTCTAAACCCGAGCTTCAATAGGAAATTGTACTGGTAGACAAACTGAGAATGAACAGCATCCTCCAGATACCCAGAATTCAAGTTCAACTAATAACCAAACTAGGCAAACTAGCGTTCGAAGCTATCAACTGTCAACTGTCACCATCACGCCAACCTCGTATTACAGAGGGGCGCCTCCAATGAACAACCAATCAATCTCGCAGTAATCGAATTTAATGAACGACCCATCAAAAAGCCCCCTAGGGCCAAAACGCAAATCTTAATCCCGATCCTGCGTATCAAGAGAAGTCCGCGTCTGTCCTACCCACCATCACCATCGGAATTGCAGATGCCGACATGCGCTGTGATACATAGAATGAGGCCGTCAGGGGGCGGTTAGTACGAGTACGAGAACATTGAGATATGTACTTGTACCCGGGATCGAGGGTGATTGACAATAACAAAATAAGGGAGTGATATCCGGGTATACTTGTACGAGTATGCTCCAGGAGTTCAAGTTCCAAGGATAAACTTGAAGATAACCTCGGTTAGAAGAGCGGGGAGTTTGACTGAGGTTGACCCTCTCCGCATCACATCTCGTTTCCACTTAACCTAGCCAAGGATGTGTTGGATCTGCGGTACCAGCTGTCATTTATTTGCTTTACTCGTATTTGCAGGGCAAGTTGGGCGGAAGTCATGACTTGTTTCAATGGAGATCGATCGAATTGAGATCCATGGATTGGATGAGATGAGGTCTGAATTAATGGATCATCTCATGGAAATTGTATTAATGATAGCCGTGCCATTCGGTACTTTGTATGAGCTTCGTACTTTGTCCCGCAACTATCGTATGCCGCCCCCTATCCACTCCCGGCTTGGGTAAATGATCAACATGGTCCTCGTACTTTGTACACTGTACCGTACGTATTGTGTGAGAATGCAGATCTGAATTACTGATGTTCCCCTCCCCTGCTTGGGCCTAGTTGAAAGTCAATAAGACATGCGAAGGAATGGTAGAGTTGATGGGGGCTTGTTCAAATGCGGCGCTAGAGAGGATGCTCCACTTAGGAGAAAGAATCCAATGAATGGCGGTGGTCCAAATTCAGATCCAATAGAGTAATGTCAATTGAGGAGTGCAGTCAAGAAGAAAGAAGATGGTGAGTTGAGTTAAGCTAAGCAAGCAGGTTGAAGTTGAGGAAGTCACGGGGTCAACGTACGACCAGGCCAACTTTCACTTTCACTTTCTTCCCCTCGTCTTCTCTTCTTCTCTCCTCCTTTTCTCCTACGCCTCTCTTCTTTTCTTCTGTGCTTCTAGTCCACTTGCTCGGCGTCTCAATTTACCCCTCCACCCTCCATTCTCCACACAACATCCTACCTATCTCGTGACCGGCAACTTTCGACCTGCAACCTGCGACCTGCGATTTGCGACTTCGAACTCGCAGGATGCAGATCCTGGATTACTGCATTCTCGCCCCCGCTGGTGATGACTGGGCTTTGAGGGAGAATGGCTTCCAAGAAAAACCAGCGAGGTGGCATTCGCAAATCAGACGGAATTCATTTCGTCAATGCCAGACCTTCATCCGAGACCGAACGGATAAAAGCACAACGCTTGGTGCGAGCGCATGTGGGCCGATGGATCTCCGACCAGACCAGAGATAAAGATCGCACGGCAGAGGCAGCTTCCAACTCGGTGTCATCGATTCGCTCGTCAGCGTCAGCTTCAACGTCAGCCTCGGCCTCGGCCTCGACCTCGACATCAATTTCGCCCTTATCGATAGGCGCGTCAACAGGATCAACTCCTCCCAATAATCCTCAGAGTGCACAAGCTGCCACCCGCCCCTCATTGCCGAGCGATGATGGCCCACCGTCCTCGTTTATTGTCGTCTCGCGTCCCTCACCGCAGCCGACCCGCTATGTCCCCGCCCCGCGCCGCGGCATCGCTGCCAGGGGCTTGAACCAGCGACCGCTGCGGGAATGGCAGCGATCACCATTTCCCCCATCCCACGCCAGCGACAGTAGCGATAGTAGTGACGATGCGGCTTCACTCACGGAACCAATTGCCTTTATCCCATGGCACGAGGTGGCACGCGTGGAACCCCAGATTTCCGGCCTCTTCGACCCTTTTGGCACATATCCTACGGAATTCTCACCTGACCTTGTGAACCCATGCGAGACATACCGTTCGTATTTATGGACTCCGGATCTAGACTGAATGAAGTAATTTGCTAACAATTCCTTTAGTAACAACGGTATTATGGCCCGGGCTCATCCCTAGGTCTGAGACACATGAAAAAGGCTGGCGAAGATTGGTTTCCTCTTTCATTATCTGACCCTGCCCTCTTTACGGCGTTTATTTACGGATCGCTCTGTCACCAGCGAGTCCAGTGGCTCAATCAGGTCACTCCGAGCTCCAGCTTCGGTCCTAGGCAGGAGCGTCTCTTACAGCAATGCGAGGTGGAAGCCATCAAGTTGATCAATGTAGCGATGAAAGACCCTTCTCGCCGAGTTAGTGACGCTGTAATCCTGAGCGTGATTTGTATGGCTCACCACCAAGCAATGGACGACACTTTCAGGCGACAGCTACCCACTCCGTTCAAAGCACCGTTTCAACGCCTGCAGTGGCTCAACGTCTATGGGTGCTTGCCTCCTAATATGATCCATATTCAAGGGCTGGTGCAACTGATCATTATGCGCGGTGGACTGCGAAGTATAAAAACGGCCGGGCTGGCGGCGACTATCTCTTTGTTTGTAGGCCCAAGTATCACAACCTTATTATTCAATGCGAAAGCTAACCCACCCCAAGTTCTGACATATTCACCGCGAGTGTACTCTGCACCAAGCCAGGTTTCGAGTTCTGGCCAGTAGATGAATCCCGCTGTGGGATCGAACTTCGGCCTCTTCTAGGCTTCGATCAATCCGATATCGACCGTGGCTTCGGTCGCCTGTGCAGCATTGGAATAACTCCCCAGATGGCAGAGGCATTCCAAGCCGCCCGCATGTACATCAACATTGTCCGAGATAATCTCGCAAAAAGCCATGATTCCTCATTACTAGCAGACCAACGCAACCTAACGCAACATACAATTCTGTCTCTGCCACCCGCGTCGACGATATCTCACCAGTTCGTCCACCCCACACATGCGATCACTTACGAAGCTTGTCGGTTAGCATGTTGGATTTTTGCCGTCGGCGTTATTTTCCCTGTCCCGGCTCAGAGCACGCCCTTGGCCAGTCTAGCTCAGCAACTTCAAGGTGTTCTCCGTGACCCAGAAGCCTCCGGATTATGGACATCGCCGCAAACACGGATTCCGTTATTATGGATTCTCATGTTAGGCGGAATTGCCGCAACCGAGATGCCAGAGCGACCATTCTTTACCTCGGCTTTGGAACGGACCTTACGGAGGAGCGGGATCTCCTCTTGGCTGGGTGTCAAACGTGTTCTCGACATCATGCTTTGGTATGATATGGCTTGCGATGAATCGGCGGAGGCGCTTTTGTATGACGCGATTCGTCTTGCGAATAGCGTGTCTGAGGCGGGAAGTTGAATGCGATACCTGAATATATACCCCCGCCCGGCAAATTTCAGGACATTTCCTCGTGTCCTTGGACTTTTCATGGTACTATCCCGAGACCGGGAGTTGGTGTGAAATAATACAATGCCTCATCTGTCCTGGAAAGTCTATTACATGTCATGCCAGTGCACATGTTCTGATTCTAATGATAGGACTGCGTTGTTTAGTCAAGATTAAATATTGATCGCACCACAGATCAAGTTCATACAAAGTGCAATCTGAATCTCCGACGTATCTCATCAATGGCAGTAATAAGAACTAACCTCTCCCTTTTGGTTTATTGATCTTGAATTCACATAAACAAATCAAAAAATTGAAACCAACCTTTCTTGTTCCTCTGAATGGTGTTGCAATCACAAAAGCACATGCACTCTCCCAGACCATTATGTCGTTTGAAACCTTGTAGAGGGCCCTTGCTGTGACTCATCGCCGGAATAGTAGCTGATTTTCATGATTCAGACGTCAATAGACTGATATACTTTCATGTGAACAGCCTCTGGGACGAGTGGTGACAAATGAGGCTCAACCCATTAGCATCAGACTAGTCGATATTCTAGACAGGGAAGACACATCCGGCATTAGCGCCATTGCACCCTGCAAGGCGATATGCAAAGAATGCTGGAATGAGGTAGCTCTTCATATCTTGGCAACGAAAAGCTGGTGCATCCCGCATAGCATGGCTAGCTAATCGGGTCTGGGCGCGGGCGCCATCCCCCCCTAGGCCCGACAAGAGGTCCATGCCGGGGTCCAGATCTTGTCCCTAGCTTGTTTCACTTTAGATTCTTGCAGTTTCTGGACGGTCGGGACCCAGGATCATCGCTTTCGGGCGCTACCCCGTGATTTTGGCATCCTGCAGATCAGCGGGTTCGTGGTCACCTCGTGGTTGGTCAATGATTTCTCCCTTGAGCGGCCATGCAGCTAAGGAGAGACATGCCGGCTCAAACTGGACTCATTTGATGCAGGCGGTATGTGATGAAGCTATCTCGTTCCTCCGGTAGCCCATGTCATCTGCAAAGACTGGCTCGACTGCTCGATTTAAACCATGGTATTGCTCGCATGATTGCTCTGGTGATGAAGTTATCGGGCAGCTCCGATGCAGACGGTGCTGTCCAACATTCATGCATAGGCATCATGGAATTGTTCCAAATCGGCGTTGCCTAAATGTGGGATGGCACTGTCGTATGTTTCAATTCCAGCAATGCTTTCAACAGGGGGTTAATGTGTAATAGCTCCATGGGGTACCATGTGTTTTGCCATGCTAACTAGTATCTCCTCGAAGAATGTTATAAAGTTCCAGCTAACATACTAGTTCCTCTTTTAATTGCGCGGCCCGGAACGTTCGTGGGGATGTAAAGCTACCTACCCACGCGACATTGCATCCTTGTAGACATTGAAGCTACATTGGCCCCACTCTTCATGCATGAACTAATCTAAGTAAATCCGTGAATTTGGATGATCTACACGCCTCCAGCCTTGACCAGCTGGATGGGAGCTGCTTCCCCGGTTTTACCGTATCTACCCTGGAAGGCCCTTGAGCACTCCACACCCCACTGCGTCCGATTCGCCAGACTGTCGACCGTACGCATTAGTTTTCTCTATGCACTGTGAATGGGCCCTAGTTCTGGCATTCTTCTGCAAGAGGAATCGATCTGATGTGCTTTCGCAGCTTTTATTTAAACATGATTCCCAATAAGTGGGCTAGCCATTGTTATGGCAATTATTTAAAGTCTACTTTTCAGAAAGAGTTTCGTCCTTTTTTCTCTTCTATTTTACCCTCAATACTTTCCAACGCTCTGAGAATCAAACATACTCCTCTCCACCATTTGTGCAACTTCCTGCATCATGGCGGCTCACTCGCACAACGCCCGCCCCAACGGCCCAGCCCTGTCGTCAAATGACGACACCTGGGATTCAGGGTACCCAGAGGTCGCCTGGACCAACCCAGCCTGCTATCCCACACCAGCAATGGCGGTGGGACAGCACTGGTTACACCACGGGCCACATAGCAATTCGAACCCGGGTATATCTCCTATCTCAGCATCTCCTTGCTCCAATCCAACAATTACACCACCTTCCTCCCTCCATCATCCAAATTGTATCCCCTGGCCAGTCGGTAGTCCAAATGGTTACATTCTACCCGACGCCCACAACGCAGCCTGTCACCCCAATACTCCCAAGAGCACTCCGATGGCAAGGATCTCGTCCTTCAACTCCTCACCAGAAGAACCACTCGACACTACGAACTACGAAAATACATGTGCACATGGGATAGGGGCCCAATCCCGCCAGGCGGCGGGCATCGAGTATGTGTTCACGACTAATTATACCCTCATGACTTATGAATACTATGATACATCACTCTCTGACATAACCCAGTGTCAACCACTACGGGAGATATAAGTGCCGGTGGGAAGGATGCACGTATACCAGCACATTTTCCAGGCAAACCTGTCTATGGCGACATATCAAATCCACCCATGTCGCCCCTGAAGAGTTCAAATGTCCCGTTCGTGATTGTAAGGAAAGCTTCGGTCGCAAGGATAAGCTGCAATCTCATATGCGACTTTATCATATCACCCACGGCAGGTCAGAGTCATGTTCTTGCCATTCTTAACTTGGTTTTGGGCTTTATCTTCTCCACTCATTCTACATTGAAAGTTGAAGTTTAGCTTCCGATTTCTTTTCTTTTTCTTTTCTTTTTTGCATCCATTGACTGGTTTGCCTCGATTGGGAAATATATTAGAAACATCCATACTTCTTTCTTTTGTTTTGCCGCTTGGCTTCGGTTTTTCTTTTTTTTCTTTTTTTTTCTCGTTAGCTTGGGGTTCCGGAGATTATACAATGGGTTAATTACTTTCAAGGTTCAAGCAGGGTATCAACTGAGTAAATTGAAGGTTTCATGTTACGTTTTGAATCTCGTAGTAATAGTCACCTTAGGCGAGCATACGGTGATGCCTTAAGCCTAAGGCTGACTTACTCCTCGGACACCATTATCTTGGGCCGCAAACTCTGGGCATGAAGCGACAGTGAAGCTGCTGTTTGAGACTGGGCAGGTGGATGTGGATGAACATCACGGCAGGTCCTTTGATGCCGGTCAACATACAATCGAACTTTTCTACGTGATCTGCAGTCTGTACATAATCCATATTAATTATCCTGAACAACAAGTGGTACTGCTAACCATCTCCAAGGTGAATTTGATATTTTTCTCGTGTTCAGCCTTACGCTCCGTGAGGTCCACGCCATTGAGACTGAGATGTCTGACCAAGAGATCCGATAAATAATTTCGGTTTCTCGGATTTTCCACGCCGTATTTCTTCTTCGCGCCTGCGGACCCTTTGGCTGTGCTTCTTACTCTGACGCTTCCGGGCCCTCATCTCCATTTTGGCTTTTGCTTTTTCCGGGTCTTTTGCGAAAATCCTCCTCAGCCAGTCCATGGTTGGGCAGATGACGTGAACTTAACTCAGCACATCAGTATGGAGTTCTTTTTCTAATATTGCAATGTGAAATATTAAAGAAGAACAGTCCGTGCTTACCTTAAACACTTCACGGCTCAAAAGATGGGTAGATGTCGATGGTCGTATCACATAATACGCCAATAAAAGCTGATGAGGGGTGGGGATGGAGGTAGATGACGATGGCAGTGATAGTTAGGTAGTGAAGATATGAAGAAAACAAAGAAGCTATCTTGACAAAAGGCATGATATCCAGGACGCCTGAGACATAGCTACCGGCCTTAACAAAAGGCTGCCTTTCCTGATGGCTGTGCGTTGCCAAGGATTACCTGCATTTTTTCGACCTCCTAAACACAACGTCTGCCAAGATTAGGCCACCCATGATACACCAATCATGGGCTCGGGCACAAGACTTCGAGGTGTTAAACGAATGATTCAAATGTGGGACATTGCAATAGATTTTGGATTTCTAAGCAAACGAGTACAGTTAGCTTGGGAGTATTAGTTTGGGTGATTATATAACGATTTTGCTGGGTTCTGTCATTGCTACATGTTAGATTTATTTGATCAGTCTACCAAAACAAAGCCATTTGGACTATAAAAAGGTCTTTCGACAATCAAATAGTAAGAACAAGCACCTTACTCCATCTATCTCTAGTTTACGGTATTACAATCTCCCACTTCCAGTATTACAGCTACAAAGGATTTGGCGAGCATATGCGAGATGTCTTATCATATAGCCAGGCTGTACGTATTGGCGATCGTATCGCCGGTCAAGTTATATCATTGGCGTCCTCATATACCCTGCTGGTTATAGTCATTAACCATATGATAGATCATCAGGAGGTTGGAATCCAGAAACTAGCGACGTTCACGTGGACTTAGCGAAAGAAGTCCACCAAGTATTTTCCAATGTAGAGCTAGCGTTGAAATATGCAAGTGGCAACGAATGGTCCCATGTCTATTGAGTCCGAATTTTCATCATACATGTCAATGAGGAAGTCCTTGGCTTGCTCGTGTAGAATCTTCAGAAGTGGATGCCAGATCATAAGCCTGTACTGACATGTGTAGAAGTGAAAGGGCAGGCTTTGGAGGGGATGAGAATTGAGATCGAGGCGTTTGCACACGATATTTGAATATCAAAATCTCGAGGTGTTTTTTTGCTCGAGACAACACTCTCGCATTAGAATTGTTCTGTTTAGCACAATTTCACGGCTCTTGCATTCTTTTGTAGCTGTCCCTTTCTAATCCACTGAGGAGTGACGCATATCATATGCTCCACTCTACAGGGCGTGGAAGAGTCACCTTTAATTTTGAGGATGCAATGTACTTATGACCGAATCGTGAAGCTAGAGGGATTGTTCTAGCTAACGGGGAGTTAGCTCGAGTATGGTGATATTTACCTCCTCGGCCATCGAGGAATTCTCAAGAGGAGCTGTATATGCCACAGCAGCAAGACAGACACAGCTAGGATGCTACAAATAGTAGGAAAGCCTCTCCCGGAAGAAAAAATCCAGTAAGTATACTAGAGACTTAGGTATTAGTATCTACTAGTTACCGGTATCTCCGACTCGAATGAGTCACCAAAATTATATATACTCGTACTCTTACCAGGATCCCCTGCGCAGTCTCCGATTAGCTCCAGACGATGTGGGTCTTTTCCTGCCAAACACAATCGAAACTTTCGCCAGGTTCTCAAGGCCACAAAGGTTGGCGCCCACCGCCCATGGTTTCGGGTCTCGGGAAGCCGAAAGTCGCCACTGCGTTCGCCTTTGAAATTTCTTTCTTAAAGCACCTCATTGTTCTATCCTCTAAATTATCTCATAAAAATCGAAAAAAATAGACAATGCGAAGTTAGATAAATATCTCATTGTTAATTAAGTTTCATAGGAATTATCAAGACATTTTGGAGACAGATGGCGTGCAGAAAAACACACGCTTATTTACGTAAACGGAATCTAGCCCGGTGGGTCCGAGAAGATTTCGGCATCTGCGATTTGATTCCATGGCATCGCTATTTTCGCTTAGCCCACAAGAGTCCTTGGCAGGAGTCTTCAGGTTGCACACAGATCATGCAGCAAGAACGAGAATGGAGAAACCTGTACTTTTTTTGTAGTTATAGTTTTGTAGTTCTATACTGTGGGTTAAAGATGAACTGGGGTGTAGCTAAAATGAACTATGGGGAACGTTCAAGTTCGGATCTAAGCCGATAATTTTAAATTTTGCTCGCGTGGTTTTAGCCTGTCAAAGAAGGAAGGTCCCGCTGTCGCAGCTGCTAATTTCTGAGCACGCCATCGCCCCTCGCGATTTTTTGCCGTGGTTGTCCCCGAATATCATTTTGATGGCTCACCCCGGCCGCCTCCATTTAATATCTTCTCCGGAGGCCTCTCTCTTTCCTTTCTTTATATCTGTTCATCACTAAAAGTGTTGAATCTTTGCCACCAAAATGGGTTCAACAGCTGCCGAGCAAGAAGTGAGGGATGTCGCTGCTGAGTCTGTTGACACACAGGTCTCGCAGCAGAGTCGCTGGCGATCGATATACCGATCTATTCCTTTCCAAATCGCCATTGCTAGTGGTGTTTCCTTCACTGCCCCTGGAATGTGGGATGCCCTGAACAACCTGGGAGCCGGTGGAGCTGCAGAGCCATATGCAGTGTCTGGAGCAAACGCTCTAGTCTATGGTCTTTTCGCAGTCGTTTGTGTCTTGGCTGGAGCTATTAACAATCGCATCGGTCTTCGCTATGGCTTGGCTCTAGGTGCGATTGGTTATCCAATCTATGGCGGTGGTCTATATGCCAACAGTTACACATCAACCACTTGGCTGATGTTCTTTGGAGCTACCCTGTGTGGTATCTCTGCTGGCTTCTTCTGGGCTGCGGAGGCAGCTATTATTATCGGTTATCCTAGTCCGAAGGACCGTGCTTTCTACCTTGGTATGTCACCCGAGAACATAGCATAAATCACCTAAACCTCCATACTAACATTATTTCTAGCTATCTGGCAGACAGCAAAGGCCGCCGGTCCCATCGTCGGCGGTGCTATCAGTCTCGGCCTCAACGCCAAGAACTCCGATAAAGGCACCGTCAGCACTGGAACCTACATTGTTTTCATCGTCATCATGTGCCTTGGTCTCCCTATTTCGCTCTTCCTGAGCCCCGCCGATAAGGTTCAGCGCAAGGATCGCACTCTGGTTCTTGTACACAAGAAGGCCAGCTGGGCTGCCGAGTTCAAGGCTGCTCTTTCGCTCTTCAAGACACGCCGCGTCCTCCTGCTTTTGCCCGCCTTCTTCATCAGCTATTTCTACAACGGCTTCATGAGCACCTGGGTAACCAGCTACTTCACTGTCCGGGCCCGCGCTTTCAACTCCTTCTTCACCAACTTCGCTGGTGTCGCTTCATCTTTCATGATCGCTGCTCTACTTGACCGGCAATCCATTTTCATCAAGACTCGCGCTCGCATCGCTTTCATTTCGATCGTTGTCGTTCTTACCGGAACTTGGATCTGGGCATCAATCCTCCAGAGCCAGTTTTATGGTATGCCCGAAGCCCCTCTCTTTGACTGGTTCAAGGGAGGTTTCGGAAAGACCTATGCTCTGGTATTCTTCTGGCAGTTCGGAGGACAAGCTTTCCAGCAATTTCTCTACTGGCTGGTTGGACAGTACAGCACCGATATTTCGTCGCTCTCATACCACACCGGTATTCTTCGCGGAATGGAGGCTCTCGGCCAGACCGTCGCCTGGGCCATGCAGTCCGAGGGCAATGCCAACCACTTCGTCAGCATTGGCTTGAACTTCGGAATCACTCTTCTGTGCATCTTCCCTACGTGGCTCGTCCTCTCCGATTTGGAGCACAGCCACGAGGTCACAGTCACTGCTGAAGACTTGCAAGATGATACCACCAAGCCAGTCTAACTGAGATTCTGGCATGACACCACCAACCTTGTGTCATTGTATAAAAAGGGAATTTAACATTCCTCTACGATTTTCCGATTGTACTTATAGAGCGTCTATACATTTCAACATATACCCCAGTCGATAATTTTAATCAATATCTCATCGCGATTTGCGAAGAATCGCATATCCAATTCAGAATTTACAAGATCTTCACTAGAAACAATATAATAAAGAGTAATTCACGACTTAGCTTGCCCCGAACCTATATTCCGATAGTAACTGTAGCTGTCTAAAGACGCAAAACGCTTCCCATTTTCTTGATCGCCTCATGACTATCCGCGCGAAAGTTGTCTTTAATAACGGTTACTTTGTCTGCAGCAAAATTCAAAAGCTCTGTCTTGTTTCCCCAAGAGGGCCACTCGGGGTAAGTCCCATTCAAATCCGTATTCGGATCTAGAGAGTAAAGAAAGTTGATATAGTAGTTGCGTATACTCTTGGCAGCATAGTTATCGTAGATCCCAAAAAAAGAACTGCAATATATCAGAAGTATGAAAGGTTCCCAGGACTGGGGTTCCATGATCATAAGTTGCCAGAAATGACCATGACCTAACTTCTGGGCGAAGACTGCTCGTCATTTCCAAAAAAGGCACGCCGTGACAGCGTGAACAGGATATCACCAATGACTGCTGATCGCTGTTTGAAGCCCGGAAATATCTCATTCCGAAGCCCAGTGCCGAAGGGACTTCCCTTGGTGATAGCTGATGTGCCTGAGCCATATGTATTGACCAGCGAGATTAACTCCTCTTCACTGGCCTGGGGAAACATGACATTCTTTAGATACCCGACAAGCTCCTCGCTGTTGGTGACGTTTGATTGGAAGAGTGAGAAAAGAGTTCCTTCATCTTCTTGGTCGCCAATAATGAAAGGTATAGGGGCGTATTTCTTGGCGTGGACCAGGACATCAGGACTGTCGGGGAGAACCATTCCATCAGGCCGAGGAAGATAGGATAGCGCAACTCCGGACCAAGAGAATAAACCGGGGCGAGAGGTTACAGCACTGAGGAAGGTATTATAGTCAAGAGATCGTAAACATTCGAGAGTATCCGACGAGCCCTGACAGCCACCAGCTTCAACGACACCATCGTAAACAGCCTGAGCTCGTTCACTATCGACGGATTCCGCAGGCGTGATACTTCCAGAGTCCATGATTCCACCTCGGAAAAGAGTCTTCCCTTTATAGGTGTGATCTCCGCCATAGAGAACCATCTGATCCACCACAGAGATAGACCCTGCAGACTCGCCGGATATTGTCACTTTGTCCGGATCACCTCCGAACCTCTCAACATTGTCAGCAACCCATTCCAACCCCATGCGTTGATCAAGTAAGCCTAGGTTGGCAGCACCATCCTTTAGAATTTCCTTTCCAGCTAGGAACCCGAATCCGTTAACTCTGTAATTAACTGCGACGAAAATAAATGGCTTGTTGATCTTGACACCATAGTTGACAAGACTAGTTCCATCGTACGATGACGACCATCCAAGCTAGCACGATTCATCAGTATCCACAAACAGAAGATGATATCCACAAAGACTGGCATCATACCTCGAATCCACCACCATAGATCCAGAAAAGAACCGGGAGCTTCGCGTCTGTAGCGGTGCCCGCAGGGCGCGTCACCGTAATGGTCAAGCAATCCTCCGACTGACCGGTCGCATTATTCACAAAGGGAATGTTTGCGATTGTACCAAGGATGTTTTGTAGGAAATCCTTGCTATCCGTCGAAGGGATTAGTTGTGGACAGGCTGCCGCAGCCCCGGTCGCATCGAATACGCCAAGTGATCTGTTCAGGCGTTGAGGCGGTTTAAGTCTTCGTGGTCCAGTCGGTGGCTCTGCGTACGGGATTCCGTTGAAACTTTCGACATTATCTTTCACGGTGCCGAGTATTGTCACCGATGGCAAAGTCACGGTCGCAGTCTCGGATGCGCGGTTGGTAAGCCTAGCAAGGGATATGCCGTTATATAAGGAGAGCAGCACAACGCGGAAACGCATCTTGTTGAATAGAAGAACGAGAAATGACAAGCAACAATCACTAGACCATTAGTCCGATAAATTTCATCATGCGATAGCAGTAGAGATAGCTAGTTCTATAAGAATCTACTGTTTCGGCTTGATTTTACGAATCTATCCCAACGTTTGTATGAAACATGAACCCAATAATTGGGCCGAAGGGAGATCTACACGCACCCGTAGAAGGGTTGCGACCCCCGTTTCTCTCAGGCATCTCAATGGTGATCTTCAGATTCTTCCTGCCAACAAAAGAGTTTCATGGACTGAGGTGTCAGAATTAAGCATGATGTTAGAACGCGATTACCGATAAAACTGCCGATTTCATTTTCATTCACACGATATAACTTAGATTGATTGGAAAATGAAGGGACCATTTTTGAGATCGATTCCATTTGAAAGTATGATTTCAACAAGCCGCCTCAAAAGTGGTAATGGCCTAAGGGAAAGGTAGATCCCTGGAGGGATTGTACCCCGGAAAATATCAGATCTTCAGGGGCATTTCCTCTTGCGTCCCAACTCCCGTGGAGGTTAAGCAGAGATAATGTCTCCCGATTACAGTATCGATCACTGTCTGGTTCATGCATAGTACATATACTGCACCAGCTTCTAGAGTCGAGGGATGGATGAGATATGAATCTATATTCGGATGTAGATAATGTCCTGGTCTTCCACCTCCGCAATTTGGTTATTATGATAGTTGTAGTCGAAGTCTCGGTGCCGACGACCCCGAAGCCATACGACATGATCTGAACTCATATTGACCCATTCGAAGGCGAATACATATCTTAGGAGTGGATTCCTGCGCCTTGTCAATGAGAAACATTTGGATCTTGGCTATTCCGAGTCCTCGATGAGATCAGAACCGGATTCGCCTAGCAACAAACCGCCCATGCGAAGTCTTCCATCGGCATTTTGTCTGAAAGTCTCAATATGTTTGTGAATGGGCTTATTAGAAAGCCAAGAGCTGGAGCATGATGGTTGCAAAGTTGCACGCTACCAAGACTCGAACTTCGGAGTTTTGGCCGAAAATCAGGAGCTTCGGGCTGGACATCTGTCGGTCGCCACACCGACCCCCGCACATACACCCATACTTTCGGCAATCTGATATGACGTTCAATATGGCTAACGCGGGGTATTTGAATATACATGTTTTGCCTGGTGTGGAATGAAACAAGGTATTGAAAGAATTCGACGTTGACAACATGGTCTCCAGCAATTCTCGCATCATTATCCTCGGCGGCGGTGCCTGGGGTCTATCAACAGCACTTTACCTGATGGAAGCTGGCTATTCAGATGTTACGATATTAGAACGTGCCGAGGCCATACCTTCGCCGTACTCTGCGGCATATGATTTAAACAAGATTATCCGTGCAGAATATGAAGATGAGTTCTATTCAAAGCTTGCGTTGGTATGTCATCCTTTCAGAAACGCAGTTTAATCCGAAAACTGACTACTTTCTGCAACACAGGAAGCAATTGAAGGGTGGAAAACTCCGCTATTTGGGCCATACTATCACCAAACCGGCTATGTGGTAGCAACAACCGGCAAGGCACCCGAAAAAGCCGTCACGCATCTCGAGAAGGCGTTGGCCTCCATCGAAAAGGACCCCGCGTTTGCCCCTGGAATTAAACGGCTAGATGGCTCAAGCGACTTTAAAGATTATACCTGGCAGTATACAGGCCCACTATCCGGCTTCAAGGGCTACTTCAACCGCCTTGCCGGATATGCCCACTCATCGGATGCCATGAAAGGGATTTGGGATCATATCTTGGCGCGAGGAGTCAAATCCATACTGGGCGAACGTGCGGGGAAGGTGGTTAAGTTGGAATATTCAAACGGCAAGGCAACCAGCGTCACGACAGCCGATGGAAGAACTCATAATGCCGATTTGATTATATCTGCCCTTGGTGCCGCCGGCGCTGCAGTGCTTCCGCAGATCGGCAAGTCTTCTGTCGCTCGTTCTTGGTCCGTGGCCCACGTACAGCTCACAGAAGATGAGTGCAATCTATTACGCGGTATTCCGACGACAAACATCCGTGACTTAGGCTTTTTCTTCGAACCTGATCCAAGGACAAAGCTCTTCAAGCTATGCCCGCTCGGAATCGGGTATACAAATACAAACCAACATGGGATATCGTTGCCACCATCTGAACAGTTTCGTGGTTCCCAGGATTTCATCCCAAAAGGTGACGAGCAGAAACTTAGGCGGCTATTGCGGGAGACTTTTCCTTGGATGGCCGATCGGCCTTTCGTGGATAAAAAGCTATGTTGGTTCTCAGACACCGCAGACTCTAATTACTGCATCGACTTTGTACCTGGCTCGAATAACTCTGTCATTGTTCTGAGCGGCGATTCTGGACATGGATTCAAAATGATGCCTATATTTGGAAAATGGGTTACCGATCTCATTGTCAAAGGTAGACAGAGCGAGGCTCGCTGGAAATGGCGTAACCCAAGTGAAAACGCGTCGCAATGGGGTGACTCCGTAAGTTGGAGAGTCGGTCAGGGAGCCGAGTTGAGCGAACTTGTTGGACTAGATGCGAGAGTAGCTTCACCCAAGTTATAGTATTTTGTTTTGCTTCCTGCTGCGCCAATTGTGTATCTTTCGGGTTTTCAGACATAGTCACATCAAACTTTATGAAATAAAAGGAAGAACTAACAAGCCCAAGTAGTTTTGTTTATCTTGAACGGGAAATGAATTCAGGATTCACAAAATAGTAGCCCTCGTATTTAATATAACCAATGAACTCTACTAGTACAATCCGAATGACCTTTTGTCCCTGAATATTTCGTCGCGCTAAGTACTGGCAATTTCACGATCATGGAAGCTGCTAGGTATATGTAGAACATGAGTTTAGAGCTGTCATCTAGGTTACAGCTGTGAACTGGAATAAAACTAATTAATATTAAACAACTGCGAACGAGTGGTTCGAAGGCATCTCTGCCAATGGTGCGCCGAATCTACTAGTACATGCCCAGGTGGACGGCCGCCGGTTCAAGTTCTATTGTCTTTTGAGAACACGGGGATTCTAGAGTACATTCAGTTGCTTATTTTATATTTCTGGCAGTGGTGAGGGAACTTTCACAGTTGACTTGGATAAAATTCAGTTTTATCGCACAAGGTTTAGTATACCCAGCCGCCATCGACGTTGTGTACAGCTCCAGTCACAAAGCTCGACTCGTCGCTTAGTAGAAAAGCGATGACCTTGGCGACCTCATCCGGAGATCCAACTCTTTTCTGTGCGTTCTCCATTATACCCGACTCCGATCGTTTTGGGTCGCCGTGGGCGGACATTGGGGTAAGTACGGTCCCTTCATTTTCTTGTTAGTATTTAAACTTTGTTTGATATGGGAAAAAGAAATATTTCTATCGACGATCAACTGGAAACGATGAGGCCTTACCTGGGGCGACGCAGTTGATCCGGACGTTCCTGTTTTCCTTTGCAGCCGACTTCGATAGGGCAATCACAGCGGCTTTGCTGGCGCAGTATGCGGAGGAATTAGGCATGGATATCTGTCCAAATGTGCTAGCTGCCGATACCTATATTTGATATTGTCAGCGTCGGGATTCTTCACTTGGCATTTGATCTGAGGAGTGACCCACAATGCTGCCCTTCTTCATAACTTTGAGTTGCGCGTTGAGACAATTGAAAACCCCAGAAACGTTAACCGACAGAACGAATTCGAACTTCTTTTTCGTAAGCTCGGTGACTGATGCTGAAGGTCCTAAGACTCCTGCCATATTCACAGCTCCGTCAAGCCTTCCATATCTATACATGGTCTTTTCTATCCATGCATCAACCAGCCCATCATCGCGGACATCAACCCGAGTAAAGATATGCTTTTCTCTACCACCCGGGAGTGACTTAATGGCGACCTCCAACGCTTCCTCATTCAAATCGGCGAGAGAGATTATGGCGCCCCGAGAAGCGAGTAGTTGAGCAGCGGCGAGCCCCATGCCGCTTGCTGCACCCGTAATCGCAATCTATTCAAAATCAGATAAATTGACTTCGGTCGACGGTTATATAACTTGAGATGTTATAAGTAACTCACCACTTGTCCTTGATGAGATGCCATGACTCCGCTGGTAGTAGGGGCGCTATGAATTAACAGAAATCAAAGATGAAGAATACTTGAATTTGAAATGAGTTTCTCAGTCGTCTATTTCAATCGCGCTCTATAGGATCGAAAATAGTTGCTAAAGGAAAGAAAGAGATACCCCGCAGCTGTTGAATTCCAACATTCTTATCAGCGACGGGCCGATCACCGTAGATACCAAGATACAGCTAGGTGTCGGACTCCGAGCCGACATAGCGGGAATGTGGAGAGATGAACCCACCCCCGGATTCCTTATCGCCATTGCCAAGTTGTAAGCCCCTAAAATGGAACAGATAGACAATTATGGGCTTGCGTTCGGATTCTTGGAGAGGTATATTATCATTGAGACTTTCCCCAGGCTTCCGCTTCCGTAAATTTCACTGTTCAAGGGACCCTGCAGTTCATCAAGTTGCTTGCATACTAATCATGACCAATCAAAAAGACCCCGAAGAGCGTGAAAAGGTCGAGATGGCAAAAATAGACAGTTTTGAGCCGGCACATGATGCCGTCGTGGGCCAAGGAGTCTGCGTTGACTCCAATCAACTGCTTCGCCGTCTGAATAATCGCCAGATTCAGCTTATCGCCATTGGTAAATTTTCTCGCAACAAAATCCAGTTTGCATTTGGCTGAAAACATCTTAGGTGGATCAATTGGTACCGGCCTCTTTGTTACAATTGGGAGTGGCCTCCATGCCTCAGGTCCGGCCGGATTGCTACTGGCCTTCATCTTCTACTGCATTTTTGTCGCTCTGGTCAACAATGGCATGGCGTAAATGGTTGTTCAGTATCCTGTGGCTGGAGGCTTTGTCCGTCTGGCTGGTCATTTTGTTGGCGATGCGTTCGGATTCATGGCTGGCTGGAACTACTTTATCTATGAGGCACTTGTCATTCCCTTCGAGATCGGATCGCTGGCAGTTCTTGTCCAATATTGGAATGAGGATGCCCCAATATGGGCGGTATGTCTGGCCTGCATCGTTCTTTACACAGTCATCAACTCCCTAGTGGTGAATGCATACGGCGAGGCTGAATTTTGGCTTTCGGGTGGTAAAGTTATCTTGGTTATTGCTCTGTTCATGTTCACCTTTGTGACGATGGCCGGTGGTAATCCGAAGCACGACAGCTACGGGTTTCGCCATTGGAATAGTCCAGGAGCCTTCGCGGTAAGTACCAAAATTCTATTACCTAAATTTCAGCTGATGTCTAAGGTTCCCTCCAGGGATACCGCTCAAGTGGTAGTCTTGGCCACTGGGAAGGTTTTCTATCTGCAACATGGAGTGCGTCCTTCTGTATCGTCGGACCTGAATACATTTCACTAGTCGCAGCTGAAGCAAAACACCCGCGAAAATACCTGAAATCAGCATACCAAACGATCTATTTCCGATTTTTCTTCTTTTTCATTATGAGTGCTCTTGCCGTGGGAATTGTACTTCCATACAACGACCCGACCTTAGTTAATTTGCTTCTTGGTAATGGGAGTGGTGCAGGTACCGCTGCTGCCTCGCCCTACGTTATTGCAATGAAGAACCTTGGAGTAAGTTTTCTCTTTCGTTATATTCCATAATTCGGAGTGCATGGGACGCTAAGAATTTGTACCCGCCAGATCAGCGTCTTCCCACATATCGTAAACGCCCTTCTGGTTACGTCTATTTTTTCAGCTGGGAATACTTATGTCTACTGCACTTCTCGTAGTTTGTACAGCATGGCGATTGAGGGCCGCGCGCCTGCGATCTTCAAAAAATGCACGAAGCAGGGTATTCCAATTTACTCCTTGGCATTGACAATGGCATTCGCATGTCTATCCTTTTTACAGGCAACCCCAAAGACTGCGAGTGCCCTGAGTCTACTTTTGAATTTGGTGAGATAAAACAACTGAATGTTACATAATTTCATCTGACTCTGCCACAGGTTACTGGAGGTGCCTTCATCAATTACTTCGTCATGTCAGTGACATATGTCTACTTCTACAGGGCATTGAAAGCGCAAGGAGTTGATCGTAAGACCCTTCCCTATTACGGCCGTTTCCAACCCTACTGTAAGTTTTCCGGCTCAACAGCTTGAAAGATTTGCGAGACTAAAATGGACAAGGTGGCTATATTGCGAGTGTCTTTTTTCTACTCGTGATAGGGGTGTTCGGATATACGTCCCTCGCGCCATTTAACACCAAAAGCTTCTTTAGCTGTTATACAATGGCTCTTTTGTCGATCTGCTTCTATCTCAGCTGGAAACTTCTCAATCGAGGGGGACCTAATGGGCCTAAAGATGTGGATCTTGTTTGGGAACGTCTACAAGTTGATGCTTACGAGGCCATCGCCGTTGATGATGAAACAACATTCTGGGGCGAGATCGCACAGCTTTTATACATCAAACGTAAATCAACCTCTTCTGTTTGAAATTTGTATTTGCACGCAGCGAATATTGCAATTGAATATGGAATTATAGTCCAGAAAATGATGAAAATAAGCAAGCAGCCCGATGAAAGATTCCAGGTATCATTCGAAGTGTCAATACATCAGATCGGAGTAGCTCGGATGTAGTCTGGCTGGAAAGTATGGGCTACATATATATTTGAATAGACATTGGGGCTAAAGTGATCCCATTGAAAGGCAAAATTATTTCTTTGACCAAGAACAACAGTGTGCTTTGTTATAGAGTTGGGATATCCAAATCCAAGTGCCACCTCCTTAGTCAGTTCAATCAAATCGTAAAAGAAAAATTATCATGCTCAAGCTGCTCCGCAAGGGCGAGTATATCATCAGGGCCAGTTTCAAAGGGGTCCAGGATGTCATCAGAGCTGCTCCAATTTATTCTGAACAGATTTTGCTCGTGTTCATCAGGCAAATCAAATCTTCTATTCCTCAAAACGGTTTGGTGCATGTTTCCGCTTTCGCATGCCTTTGCCATATCAGCGGGTGGTTGAAGGGGCATGCCTGAGCCCTGCGTTCGATAAGGTTCTAGAAGCACTTCGAGATGCTCGAGCTCGGCTCTTCGTAATTTTGCTACAACATTCCCTTTTTGAATCATCTCTTCGAATACAGACGACACCGCACCTTGCCACCCTGGGTCTGGCACATATGCTGGGAGGATAGAACCGATGATAGAAAGAAGCACCGCTGAAGAAAAGGCGTACTCCAGAGTAAATGGAAGAAATGTCTCTGAAGGTATAATGAGCGCGCTAGTTTAATGAAAGTCGCGATTATACTAACCAAGCATCTCTCGATCCGACAGACTTATCAAAATGAGAAGTGTTGTGGTCGCAGATTGCGAAGATTTCTCAAGCAGCTTCGCTATAGGTCCAGACAAGATTTGTGGATCAAATCTGCTAGGGGGTAAACTGCGAATAAGGAGCCACATCACCAATGGTCGTGTCGCAAGAACAATGCACTGTGATACCAATCATCAGAATCGGGTCACATCGAGCAGTGTCTTAGATGGAAGCTGGATGACAGATACTCACATGGTGATGCGAAAGGGTGATGTTGTAGAACATTTGGGGAAGTTCACCTTTACTAGCTTTGAAACTAGATATGACCTCATCTATTTCGCGGGAAACATCGGCTAGCTTATGCAAGACAGATGTGATGCTAGAAACGAAGTCAGATCCTAGATTATCGTCGAAGCTGTAGATAGCTGTGTAGAACAAGTAGAGTCAGTCTAAAGTTACATAAGTGTGCAACTCCAAGCGCGCGACAAGAGAGAACGTACTGCTATAAATGACGGAGTTGATCTGCGAAAGGCGACTCCTTAATGCTAGTGCCTTTGTAGATATCGAGTCGGACTGTACATCTGGGAGAGACGTCGTGATACTATTCAATGGTATTGTAGGCGGGCAACCCAGGCCAGCCGAGAGCGACTGGTCAAGAACGTAGATTGTCCACCAGACATTGCTGGCATGTGTAGCGATACCAGCTTCTATGATGTCCTCCGGGAATCTGCGGTGGAGACCATCATGGAAAGAAAGACGGAGTGCTTGGCCAATCTGAGCTCATATGTCAGTAAGATGTTTGCAATGACCGGTGAGTCTGGAATATACAGACATATTGATAAGCTGGGGATCGCATATCGATTGATTGAAAGTAAAGAGCAATTAACGCTAAAACCTCTATCGCAAGCAAAGCGGGGCGGTCATCCTGCAGAAATGCCACATCTGGAAGTAGAGATAAGGCTCGGACAGCAAGTTCAGAGCCAGGCGGCGCGGCGGCCGTGGTATTAATATAGGACGTGAATGCTTTCCCAAACGCGAGCAGCATTAGATACTCAACAAACCAGAGACGGTGCGTCTGTGCAGTTTCCAAGGGATGTTTGTGAAACTCATTGAATCGCTGCAAAAAGTTTCTTTCATCGACAACACTGAAAATCTCGCCTAGGCGAAACTTGACTGTATTGTACAAAAACAGTGCTTGGTCAACTGGCGGAAGTTTGAGCAGGTCGCTTGAATCAACCTCGGCCTTTGGCTGCCATCGGAGGCGGAACGCTGCGCCATCTAGATTGAGAGGTGCACGAGGAGTACTCGAATATAACCCAGCATCTTCCAAGAGCGTGAAGACGCGTCGGCAGAAGGACCACGTGGAAGTATGTCCAAGAAATACTGCGAGATTGCAAATATCAGCATTCGGACGATGCTAATTCAATTGGGTGGCAACATACAAAGACGGCGATCATCAGAACCGCTTACATATGCCACATCCTTAGACACTAGAGGGTTGAAGGCCTGCGGAACATTGCATGATTCATGCTGATTCGTGTCGGTCGGACCAGTGCCCAGGTTCACTGATGTGGAAGGGTAACCGCGAGTGCTAGAGTTATTCGCTATTGGTGATGTGAGACAATGGTGCAGTATGATAGTTTCTTGCAAAGTAAGTCCATACCGTTATCGTGTCGGCGCGGAAGTGAAGGCGAAGTCCAGTGGTTTGGTGGGTCTATCTCGGTGGTTCTCGCCGTTCTCGCCGGTCTATCCAGAGATCTCGGAGTTATCACCGATGGATCGGTGTCGGAGGCCGAGACCGACCCCCGCCATACCGGTCGCTTGCCCAAGGCAGTTGAAGTTGTAGTTCCTGTCGATATTGTCTTCAATTGGGCGATTTGACGCTGTAAATCTTGAAGGTATCTCTCTGGGACGGAGACGTGGGCCTCGTCGGAAGCGAATGTGCATTTATCTCGGCGGCGAGTGCATCGCTCGCAAGGCCGCGTCCCCGAGCATCGCACCTTGGCTGTCCGACACTGCCTGCAGCTAATGGGTGTTAATAAAGTTCCTTTGTGTTATACCAGCAATTCTCGTTAGGGGACTTACGCGCGAATGCGGCGAGAAGGCCGCGACTGTGTTGGAGCTTCATGTATGTCAACTGTGTCCATTGCTCAGAAATGTGAAGATAGCAAACAGTCTGCCGTGAATCCGAGCCCCAAGGATGGAAGGGTATCAGGAAACCCTCTCGAACCAGCCGCCATGTCTGTGAAATACTATTGGCCAATCAATTTAGTTTTTCTCCACGACGCCACCCAGTTATCGGCAAAGATAGCTCCAGTTCTTTCTGTCATCTGCGGGGTAGAAGATAAACTAAATAATTCCTGTATCCAATCTTTTCGGTCACTACTAGTAAAAAGAATATTGTTCCCAAAGGAACAAGCACCGAAGTCCGACTTCTCCGATCCTTGCGGCCAGTGGCGGGCCTATGTCAATATAGATAGAAAGAAGAAGTCATTTCCAGGAGGCATACCAGTGAACACAAATTCTCATTTTTCTTTTTAGCTTGGAATATCGTTCTTCTTTCTTCAAGCAAATCATGGCTACGTCCCACGAAGAATATGATGTCTTGCTCATCGGGGCCGGAATGTCTGGTTTGTGTGCACTGCATCATATCCGGAAACGATTTCCAAATTGGCGGATCAAGGTACTTGAGGCAGCCTCGGATGTAGGTGGGACATGGTTTTGGAACTGCTACCCCGGCGCACGCTTCGATTCGGAGTCCGTATCTTATGCTTTCTCGTTCGACGAAAGTATCCTCAACGGCTGGCATTGGAAAGAAACCTTTTCGGCACAGCCAGATACTTTGGAATATCTTCAGTTTGTAGCCGACAGGCTCGATCTTCGCCGAGATATCCAATTCAATACACGTGTCGTATCCGCAAGATGGGAAGATGACAGACGTCAATGGCGGTTTACGGACGATACTGGACGGTCCTATACCACAAGGTTCTATGTCTCCTGTCTTGGTTTTCTTTCCAATCCAACGCTCCCCGCTATTCCTGGCATTGAGTCGTTCCAAGGCCGTGGATTTCACACATCGCAGTGGCCCAAAGATTTGCGCCAAGATGCTTTCGCAGGCCAACGCATCGGTGTCTTAGGAACCGGCGCCACTGGTATTCAAACCATAACTGCCTTATCCAAAGTACCAAACATCAAGTCGTTGAAGGTCTTCCAGCGGACTGCAAACTGGTCTGCGCCACTTCATAATCGTGATATTCCCAAAGAAGAGATGGCAGATATACGGAGGAAGTGGCCCGAGATCTTTCAAACGTGTGCGGATACACCGACCTGCTTCATGCACAAAGCCGATCCCCGCAAGTCGAGCGATGTAACCTCAGAGGAGCGTCGAGAACTATGGGAAAGGATTTACGCGACTCCAGGAATGGCCAAATGGCTCGGCGCCTTCAGCGATACCTACACGGATCGAACGGCAAATCAACTATACTCTAACTTTATGGCGGAAAAGATCAGATCCCGTGTTGACGATCCCGACATCGCCGAAAGCTTGATTCCAAAAGATCACGGTTTTGGTCTTCGGCGAGTTCCCTTGGAGAGTGGGTATTTTGAGGCCTATAACCAGCCTAATGTCCACTTGGTTGACCTAAAGAAAAGTCCCATCGACGAGGTTACGACGAACGGCATTCGACTCCGAGATGGGACAGAGCATGAGCTAGACATATTAGTCTATGCTACCGGGTTCAACGCTATCACTGGAGCTTTTGCAAATATCGATTGGATTGGGAAGCACGGTATCCCTCTTATGGGAATCAGTGATTCAAAGAAGGGACCCGGGGAGGAAGCGGTTTGGGTTGATTATCGACCACGAACGTACCTTGGCCTAACAGTCCCCAAGTTTCCTAACATGTTTATGGTCTTAGGTCCTCATCAGCCATTTGGTAACGCACCGCGTAGCATTGAACATGCCGTTCAAGTTATTGTGGAAATTTTGGCTACTTGCGAAGCCAAAGGCTATACGTACGTGGAGCCAAAAGAAGAAGCAGTCGATGCTTGGACCGAGCATGTGGCCGACTGTAGCGAGGGTGCGTTGTTGAATGAGGTTGATAGCTGGATGACAGGAGTGAATAAAAATGTTACAGGAAAAACAGTGAGGAATGTGGCCCGGTATGCTGGTAGCGCCATTGAATTCAGAAGGAGATGTGAATTGAGTAGAGCGGCAGGGTGGGACGGGCTGAATTTTGCTGGAGGGGTGTCCATGTCGAAGCTTTAATTGATCAATTGGAATTGATTAGCGCAATTCAATCTACTCAAATTGTTTCCAAGGTTATTGCTGGCCTTGGAAGTTGAGCATCATTGAAAATAATACCCATGCCCACTGGCACGTGTACTATTCCAAGATTCTAAGATAATTCCGGCTCTTCACGTTCTACTACATAAGTAGACCGAAGGAATGACCTCGGAGTCCAAGTTGGGTTCCGTTATTTCCGAACTTGAACCTTATCATGGATGGGTACCCCCAGGTGATGAACTTGGGTGGATCGATAGTACTAGTACTAATACTAGTACTACAGGAGAGTACTTCAAGTTGTCTCCAGCCCGGGAGGCGGGGCCTTCATGAAACTTTCAAGATTGATTTCAAGTTCATCATGATGGATATATAACTTGTCGCTAACTCGACCGAGATTCTTCAAAGAATGCATACTGTTTCCCGAAAAGGTGCCGAATTCGACATCTGACGAGCTTAATTACGTCTCGGCCGGGGAAAATAATTACCAGGAATGCGTTTTACGTGGACAGCTCTAGAAGTTTCACTGGGTCATTTTCGGTCGGGGTTTTAGACGGTGAAAAATGACTGTAGATTGAGGCCACGGACCGTGGCAAGCCGACTCGGGTACATGCACCCGGCCAGTAAATTTGTTTTGTTCATAATGTGTACAGGACTCACATAACGCATCAGAAAAACTAACATTGTCGTGGATTAGACTAAAAAGAGCAGATTCTAATTAAAATCATGGGTCAAATGTGAAAAACGTTGATCGTTTGGTCGCATACTGGCGGGTGTCGTGATGTCGGCCCTGGGCACACGGCCCGTGTCGCCACAGAAATAGACCCACCATTAAACAAAAAGCAGGACACTATCCTCTGAAATCCACTGTCGCAATCCGATTTTCATTTTCATTTAATTTTCGCTGAGGCGATTCTTGAACTTGATATTGAACTCCATTGCTCGTTGAATTATCACCACGATGGACAACCTCCTGCGACGACTTCGGAAAAGACGCAACGATGCCATAGAAATTGACTTATGGGAGGACGAATGCAACACAAATGGCTATCGAAAAACTGGAGATGAAATATGTGGCTGGGTATGGATCAGAACGAGATCTAAACTGGGCCCTGCGATGGTTGAAATTGCATTCCGAGGTGAGGCAGCACGTCTCCAAATGTGATAACCGATACTAAATAAGTAAACAAGGTCGCTCCCGCATCGAGAACAATTCACTTCTCCAGCCAGTCCGTACATATCGGCAAATAAATTTCCTTGACATACGACAACCTATTGAGAAGGATAATTTCACGCCATATGAAGTCTTGGAAAACGGGTTCCGATATAGGGTTCCATTCACATTCATAGTTCCCGACAAGCTTCCAATCCATGCATGTCATCATCAAGGACATTTTTTACATGTTAGAAATTCTCATCTCACTCTGCCACCTACTATTGGGGGGTTTGATGAGAATGAAAATAAGTCACGGGATGACGACATGTGCCCTAACAACCTCAGTATCTTTTATGTTGTGGAGGCAACAGTTTCAAACAACCAGGCAGGAGGATCTCGATCGAAGGAAGCATGGAATTCTGCCTCGAAGAAAATCATCGTGACTCCCTTTTCGGAAAGCAAAATTCATCTCGGTGCTTCCAGTGACTTGATGCTATCACAGGTTCCATCCAAATTTCTCGCTGCACGGAAAAGAGAAATTACAGAGCTCCAGCTTCAATCCCTGGCACCAAGACCAGTCACGATTTTTCTACCGAGTCAACAAGATACAAAACTGTTCACAGCTATTATCCCTATCAGGATAACATTTGAATCGGGTCACGGTGGAGTTCCGCCCAAATTGAGACGAATCTCACGGAAGCTGGTAGCCCATACTACAGCACACGCAGTGCCATTCCGAGCCTCTGATTCTGGGCCTGTTCTTCAAAGTAGACAGACTGTCTATACGTGCGATATGTCGCTGCCAGATTTGAATGTGTCTTCTCTTTTATGGCAAACATGTCCAACCGCCGTTTCTGATTCCGATGCGAGTGACGCAATGCATGGAGTAAAGGGCTCCCCTCGGAAACATTGCTTCCGATCCCAGTCTCAGTCCCACTAGATGCTAAGCTAGCGCCGAGTTTCGATTCATGTCTCATATCGAGATCATACGCGCTAGAGATTGGTCTTTTATATCGGGCTGCAAAGAGAATGGGGCGCTCCTTCGTTGGCCTGACAATCCCATTGGAACTAGTAACGCAAGAATAGAGACCGAGATTTTTGAGTTTTCATTTCTTCCAAGGGAAGGTGCTTCTGAGCGGATAATTTGTATGCACTCAAGAATCTCCACGACAAAGAAAAAGCGAAGATTGCAATTGATCCAACATTCTTGCAAATCATAAAAGTTCAATCAAATCAATATTTCATGTGGAGGCCGTTGATTTTTCTTTGAAATGCGTTGCCCTTTCTTTTGGCCAACAGAAGGCGCTAATGAAGATCGAGCATTTGCCAACCCAACAAGGTCACCGTACTTCAATGTATTCATTGTCGCTCCAAATTGATCTCCACTGGGTGAAACTGTCAATATCATAGCGGAGCGTGTATCGGATGTTGCTTCGAAGTGCTCGCGCAGCAACATCGTCAAGGGTGAAGATCGATAAGGAATGCGTGATTGACCGAGAGATCTAGCTCTAATAACCTCCTTCAAGGCAAGAAGGTCCGTATTTATTTCCTTGCCTTGTTGCTTTTCCAAAGGTGTTTGTTTAATCGCATTTGTATTCGAGGTAGAGAGGAACTCTGCTCCCGCCAGGTCCACAAAAACGAGCTTGCCACCAAGACATGGATGTACTCGAGCTGTGGCCGTGAAAATTTCCGTCTCACACTCTTCAGCATTCTGCACGGCTGATTCAAACTCTGCCTTTTTCGTCTCAGCTGCATCAATGCGCTCTTGGTCGATCTTGTAATCGGGATTCGAAACATACTTGCCGTCTGCTGTCACAAGAATGGCGCGGGTTTGTTCTTCGATATAAATATCTGTCGCAATTTTGCCAACCGGAACAAGCTCTGATTGCCGCTCATTGACTTGGATTCTAGCCTCAAGTAAATCCTTTGTTATTACTTCTAGCTCCATGATGGCGTGTGTCCGCGAACTTTGGTCGTGCATCGATGAAGTCGCAGTTCGCCTGCGTATCAAGCCCTTTTGGAGCTCATCTTGGAGTTGGCCAAAGTCCCAACAGGGCCTGGTGGCAATAGGACGCACCCTGACCTTTCCGTTCTCGAGTAGCTCAGTCTCACCCCGAGCATGAATGCGACCATCAGGTCCCTCGCGGATAAAACACTCCTGGCCATCATTGAGAAGATCAATAGCCTTGTTCTTGCGCAGCTCGTAGATTCGAAGACCAATACCAAATTCGAAAACAGTGCCTTGTGCATTGATAACGCTAAGCTCCTTCGCCAGATGATGCGCAGATGCCAAACACAAGCCAAGCTCATTCTTATGTTCGAAGTCGTAGCCAATAATTGTATGCGTCTTACCACTTCCCGAATGACCATATGCAAAGAAGTTGCAGGATTTCCCGCGCAGAACATCTGGAATAGCGGGTGAAACGACACGCTCAAACACGTCGTGATTGCTGTCATCGGGTTGGAAGATTCCATCAAATGAAAATCCACTTGTCCACCACTGTTCGCGCTGCAAAAGACTCTTGGCATGAAGCGGCGAGGTGATCGAAATGCGTGAGCGCGATTGGCTCTCATCTTCCTGTGATTGACAATGAATCTCGCTAGTGGGTGCCTCGATTCCCTCAGTGGGCCGCCATCTTGTCCAGACCTTGAATTCACTCATGAAGAAAACTTGTGACGGTGGCGTGGTCGATGGAGACTTCGACAGATGTGTCGTAGCGGCTGTAAGGTTCAAGAGAAAGTTGCTGGAAGAGATATAATGAGAGTCGTAAATGTAGATTGGGAGAGGAGGGGAGGTGAGTTCCTTTTTGAAGGGTTGATCAAACGCGCATCACTCAGCTGTAAATACAAAGTCTGAGACCCACAGATTGCTCCTAGAATGACCTAGCGCGGTCCAAGCCGGGGTTTCGGTGTTTTAGAAGTCCGGCGCGGCAGTATGGCAAAGCATGAATGTCCCGAACAACAAGCTGTATTTCGTCACAGAAGAGGGTAAACCTAGAACAACATGAAAACATGGAGAAGATAATGGGCTTAGATTTTGAAAAATGAAGGAATTGATTTTGCCCGTTTTCTTAGAAGCAATGCTGTTCGGTGTTATCTAACCGTTCCGCACATGGGAATTCGACGGCATCCCCTATAACTATGGAATATTACTAGCCACGTTTCATTATTCGTTATGAAAATTATACTACATACTAGACTCTTCATGGAAGTACCGAAAAAGAAACCAGAGATGAACTTGAACTCGAATCTAGGAAAGAAAAACTTTGGAAGGGCTCGGATACTGCCCATATATACGTCAAAATGAACATACAGAATACGCATTTTGAAGTAGTCACGGTCCACCGGTCCAAGGGTATTTTCGATTGACCGATAATAGCCACGCCCGGGCGTTACTTATCAACTCGTTATTGATGGATTTTAGAGGATTCAGGGTTTGCCTAGCAGATGCACACTGGCACTGGCACACACTGGGCAAAAGCACCCCAGCGGCATCAAGTAGCCTTGGAAGAAAACCAAAAATAATGAAAATCAAGAACATGAGTAACACGACTCTGGTACTAATATTGGTTTGGCAGTGAACTTTGCTGGAACGCGGATATGTAATCTTCATATTGGGCGCGATATTAGCTCTCTATTACACCAGCAAGCCAGATGCATCCCTCCGCGGAAAGATTCATGTGCTCACTGCCTCCACGACATACACAAAGTCTCGCGGAAGCCCCAATGTTTCTGCCTTTCCCCGCTCACCTCTAACAATAAGGATGGAACACATTCACCCAACTGAGCTGTCAGCTTCTGTTGATGAAGCATAGCAAACAGGATACAATACGATACAATACAGTCGGGAGACGAAAGTTTCCGTTGATACAGCACTGTAGGTAGCCAGACCGCAACTTTTGATTCAGTACCAATACAAATCACGTGAATAGCATCAAATTCAACACCCAGAAGTAATATACTCGTAGTAATAACAGCACCAAAAACAACAACAAAGATAGAAATCAAAATACCAGCGAATTAGGTGCTCTTAGTGCTCCTAGCATTTATGGACTCACATCCATCGGGGATGCTCTCCGCGTACAGCATTCCTGCAATATGTTCGCTCTGGCCATTCTATCATGTACGTATTGGACAGCTAACTAAAGCCCAAGTAGCGGGCTGGTTAGATTCGCCTAGCAACGTGGGACCTGCGTGATAACCAGAACGGCGTGCGCAAACTTCCAATTTGGAAGGTCCAAGTTAAACAAACAAATTATATACTGGTATGATACTAGTACTGCGGGCAGTTTGGATACTTGGATATCTGATAATTTCCCCATCAACCTGGCAGATTCTTTTATGCATAAATTTTCTACTTGAATGTATTCTCCACGACGGCCCATGGACCAGGAGGTACCTTGCTTGACCACTCCCCTCGAGGGGGACGCCAAAGTAGCAGAATTCCAGGTGGTTTACATTCGTGGACTAATCTAGACCACTCATCACTCGGATTAGGTTTGTCAAAGTCAACATGCAACCCCATAACTCTTCGATATCCATATTCCTCATACAGCCACCGTCCTACGGGACTACCCTCGATAAAGCTCTCGTAGCTCAAGGGATCGATCCTCTCATGACCCCACTCCATAAGAAGTCGGCCAACACCGCGGCGCCTATACCTAGGGTGCACGCCCATGGCGTTAACACCTGCGTGCGGGCGCTGGAACCAGGACTGCCTTGGCAAAAAGGCTTGGGAGAGCATCCGCTCGGCGTACTCGGCACGCTCCGTTCCTTCGGCATACCAAGTGCACTTGATAGGTTGAGGTCCATTCGGAAATGGATTTTCGCGGAAAATGAACCATTCGCAGCCCCCCCGCTACTTCGCCTGTTTCGTTATCGATCACGTAAATTAAGTGGGAGGATGGATTTTTCTCGCTTGCGTTCCAGCGGATTTTGGTGTCGAGTGCTTTGTCGCGGGCGCGATCCTCGGGAGTGTGACCACTAATTGGGTGCACAGCAGTAAAAACAGGGCTGATGTGGCAAGCAACGGTCGGTTAGATGGAGCTTCAAGACGAAGACGTAGAGAGGCAAGGGCTGTGCTTACTTGTACGGGTTGAAGTTGGCTGCCCACAGCACATCGACAAGCCGAGCGTACTCTGCTTCTGTTGGGATTATTTTTACTTCAAATTGCGGTTGCATCATCTCAGAGAGTTTTCAATATGTCTAACAGAGAAAAAAGCGTCCGTAAAACGGAAATTCATTCAGACGAGACTCGTGTTATAACTGTGGTACGAACAGAATGGGGCCAAAACTACGTCGCACTTCTTACCCATTGGGGTTTAAATTGAAAGTCAAAATCAAGTTCAATTCCTTGGATGAAAAGACAGCGAAACTGCAAGTTCCAAACTAAAATTCATCATGAGAGCAAACGCTACGATGTCCTTCTCGACCCCTCATGTCACCTTTTCGGCACGGCCATCTACTAGTTTGACAAAATACTTTCGACAATCTGGGCATGCCTAACTAGAAGTTCGTCCTTCTGGCGACGTCCAATAAGCTGAATATGACATGGGGCTCCCTCGATTCGGTCGGGCTCATCTGCGAAGATTAGCAAGCAGGTCCGAGTTCTTCGGCTTGACTTTGCACTGACATCGTGGATAATAATTGACATCGCGAATAAATTTCGCATCGGCAGCCGCGTCAGCCTTGCTGAACGGTATAACGCAGGCAGGATACTGAGAAGGTTTGTTAGCCACGTATTGTATTTGGAGTCATAGAATGTAAACCATGGGCTCATACATCTACCAAGTTGGCGAGAACAGTATACATTGGAACTCCATATGTGTCGTGAGGGACAGCCGTAGTCTGGAAGCCAGGTGCAATTATCAAATCGAGCTTATTATCAAGGTAAACACCTCGCATCTGGCTTGATATTTTGGCCTTTTTTGCATTGAGGTTGAAGAAATCACGCAGTGTTGTTTCGGGCCCCTTTCCTTCTAAGTCGTAAGTGAAACGAAGAGATGGAATGGCAGGCTCGCCACTATCGCTCAGACGTTTTAGTACAGTTTGGTCGGGGTCAACCCTGAAGAAATCGAAAGCCAAGTCCGAAGCGGCTGCAATGAAAGGTACTTGACCGGAAAGATCCACAACTTGATGCCCTGCAGCATTCAACTTTTCGATAGCAATCGCCAAAGTGCGTTGCATGCTTGGATGCAAAGGTTGTTGAGGATCTTCAGGCAGGATGCCAATCGTCAAAGACTCTCCCGTTCCTTTCGCAGGTTCAAACCAGGGATACGCAAGTGCAGAGTCATCCATATCATCAATGGAAGCATCAAACACAACGCGAAGGAGCATCTCGGCGTCCCTGACTGAGTGACATAAAGGACCCGCAACGGCAGCGATACCCGTCATTCCAGGACGACCAGCGCTTTTCCCAGTCGGGGGCACACGACCCACACTGGGCTTAAATCCGACAGTGCCACAACAGAGAGCAGGAATCCGAATGGAACCTGCAATATCGGTTCCAATTCCCAGTATGGAGCCTCGCATGGCGACAAGAGCACCTTCACCGCCACTGCTTCCACCTGCCGTGAGACTTGCACGATAGGGGTTGAGCACTCGTCCAAACACATTGTTATGAGAATCTGCCGTCATCATAGTCTGTGGAACATTGGTCTTGACGTATAGTACAGCCCCTGCAGCAAGAAGAACATCAACCAGGGGCGAGTTCTGGCTGGCAGGCGGGTCGTCCAAGAACGACACTATTCCCAACGTTGAATGAACCCCTTTAAGGTTCAGCGAGTCCTTGATACTGATGGGTACCCCATGCAGAGGCCCATATGGCTTGCCAGTCGCTTTGATATGCTCATCAAGTTCTTTCGCGCGTGAAAGGGCTTGGGGAAACATTGTTTCAGTAAGGCAGGAAGTGACCTGCTGAGCAATCGCGGCACGCTTGCAAAATGCTGTGGCAACCTCAAGGGCGCTCAGCTCTTGCGCTGCAAGTTTTTCTCGTAGAGTTGTTGCATCTTGGATTTCAGTGATCTTGAGTTCCGATGGGGTGAGAATACCACACTTATGAGGTATATCTAAAACGTTGGCATCGCCCGCCTCGTCTTGTGCCAAAAACTCGGCCGGTAATCGCCATTCAACTGGGATCTTCGCAGCCGCTTCCGCTCGCTTAGCGGCGGCTTTCTCTTGCCAGGTTGCCTTGGCCATGTTTTTTTTTTAAAAAAAAAAAAAATTCGAATATCTGGAATATTGTATAGAATAATCAGTTATAACGGAAAGGGGATGCCCAGAAGTGCAAGCAAGCTCCCTCGATTTATAGTCGGGCATACTTGGTAGGTGCATGCGGGGGTGGACACCCCCCACCCCCGATTCATTCTCCAATCAACACTATTTGCGCGCAGCAAGCCACCTGGAGATAACAGGGGTCAACCGGTAAACTATTCGGCACTCCACACGGCGCTGAGGCGGACTACGGCGGACAGTTCCGCTGCTGGCCATGCATAAGAAGGGCTTCGACCACCAATGATAGGAATTAAAATTTCTTTCCTTATCTTATGTGAACAGCTACAAAAAGCAAGGAAAATTCGATATGACTCCCCCCTTCAAAAATCGAGGTTCAGGATGCTATTGCCCAATACACCAAGGAGCTGGCAAAGCCACTACGAGAATTGAATCGGAAGGTCGGTGCGAGAATATTCTCCGATTACCTTTCTACCTTTTTCTAACAACAAGTGGCAGATTCATGAGAATCCTGAATTGGCATATGAAGAACATCACTCACACGATGTGATCTGCGAATTTCTTGAGGCCCAGAATATACCCGTGAAGCGACATGTCTATGGACTCAAGACTGCCTTTGAGGCTATCGTTGGCAACTCAAACGGTCGCTGTGTGAATTTCAACGCCGAATATGATGCGCTTCCTGGTATTGGGCATGCCTGTGGCCATAACCTCATCGCTACTGCCAGTGTTACCGGATTCATGGCCCTCGCATTTGCGATTCAAAAGTTCGGTCTTTCTGGTCAAGTCCAGCTTCTTGGAACGCCCGCTGAAGAGGATGGTGGCGGTAAAGTTGACCTTATCCGCGCAGGTGCCTTCAAGAATGTGGACGTATCTTTGATGATGTGAGCTCAACATACTGTCGATCGAGTGTGGTATGTTGCTAATCTTTACTAGGCACCCGATGGCCGAGGATGAGTTCTCAAAAGAGAAAATTTTAGGAATCGGCGGTCGATCAACCATCGCCTGCTTTGACATCACCGCAGCGTATCACGGTGTCAGTGCACACGCGGCCGCAAGCCCCTGGGAGGGCGTGAATGCGCTCGACGCCCTGGTGTCAGCTTACAACAACATCTCCATGCTTCGCCAGCAGATCGGCCCGAACGAAAGAATCCACGGTGCTATCATGCAAGCGCCGAAAGTGACTAATGCAATCCCCGAGCTTACGCGCACCAAGTACACAATCCGGAGTCGCACCCAGAAGGGAGCGCGTGCACTGGGTGAGCGTGTTCGCAGGTGCCTGAGATGCAGGCGCTCTAGCCACTGGATGCAAAGTTGAGCTAGAGGAGACCCAGATGTATGCAGACTTGGTTGTAATCCCTCCATTGTGCGAGGGTTACCAGGAATTCATTGGAGATTTGGGAGTTCACGTCGCGGCTTGTGATGATACTCTCATGCCAGGATCGACCGACCAGGGAAATGTTTCCCAGGTCGTTCCAGCTCTCCATGCTTTAGTTGGTATCCCTGTCACGGACGGAGCACACAATCACACTCGGCAATTCACTGCTGCGGCGGGTACGGATGAAGCACATGAGCGCTCGGTCACTTCAGGGAAGGCCATGGCGATGACAGGTTGGAGGCTCCTCGTCGATGATGAATATTACGGCAAAGTTCGCCAATCTTTCGACGAGATTATGGGATAAGACTTGAATCAGTCCGAATTGAACGATAGTGAATAAAGGCCATCGGCATATTTTAGCTCTCTAGGAATTTTCCAATACAGAGAATCTATAAATGGACAAATTATGGCTATTTACATCGTAAAACTTTCTCCTCAAACTCACACATCAGTAGCCTTTGAACGTTGGCAATATTTCTCTGAGGAGCGATTGAAATTCATGAATTCGGTGTATTTCGAGCGATACGCTCAGTATCTTGTGTGATCGGGTACCGTGTTCGCCAATAGTATGTTTTCATCTCTTTTATCATGAAAAACCTCTCCCAGTAAACTGGATATTGCAAGCAGTCGTCACTGCCCTCGATTCGTTATTTTACGTCAGCCCATGACTCTGGCCGGACATTATCGCTCAATGAAATGAGCCCAGCGCCAACGTTTTCTGATCTCACTTGATTGAATGGAGGAAGTCTCCTTCGCCAGAGCATCTGTTCGATGCTCTGAGTGGGTATTAGACTTGGAAAGTCATCGAACTGTTAACCGCGAGCCACGGCGGCATCCAGAAATTGCTTGACAAGCTCGCAGTGGTGACCCTTAATAGCCAGCTCAAGAGGGCTTAACCTATGCCCAGTTTAAGGAATGGGTTAGCACCTCCGATTAACAACTGCTTAGCACAGTCGATGTTTTCTTTTTGATCGCTCTGGTAAGTTCTGTGTCTCCCATTGAGGTGACCGCATCAATATCGACATCTCGTTCCAAAAGTATAGACGTATCGTCGATTGACACCGTATCCCATCGATTCCGGCCGTTCATCACGTGATCTGCTCCCGTGTTCCTTTCCTAGGAACGGTTGGCTCTCGGTGGCCTATCTACAGGTTGCGGCCCCTCATGTCGCACGGTCCGTAACAATAACCCATAACCCATCAATGGGTTATATAATTCAACCCAAAACCTATTATGGATTGGGTTGGGTCATGGTTGACGTGGGTTGTGGCGATGTCTAATCTTAAGATAGCAAACGGTCAGACGCAAGAGTCAGAGGAAGGTAAATATTTTGTCCAGAACTACTGCAGACGAGTAGGAGAAGTAAAAGAACGTGAACACGATCATAGACACAAACAGGATACAGGATCACAGAGGCGGTCGCGTACGCGGTCACGTTCGTGGTAGCGGACGCGTGTTGGGTCAGAAGGGTATGCCCGCCATTCCTAGCCAAGGTCATCAAAGAAGCAATTATAATATGATCTAGAAGATGTGAGGTGGGGTTGGGCTGGCCGACTCAACTAATCGGGGGCGGAGTAATGCAATGAGGGCTGAGTGCATCACGTACTACGGAGTAGAAAATAGGACCTCCGGGATCCTTCGCGCTTTCATTCTCTGGATCAATCGTTCTTTGCAAACCCCATTGTAAGCTCATTTGACATCGAAGCTGATCACGGTCAAGACCTGTCAGCTGCGCCACACCGTGTAGATTTGTTTTTGTCGGAGCAAGAGTACTTGCTCTGCAGACCGCTGCTTTCGGGCTCCGAAGTGACTGGTCGGGAGCAGACCGTGAGCCTCCACCGCGGTTGAGGTCCTTTCTGCTACCACTGATTCCAGTGTCTTTCACAGTGTTGCGAGAAGCCAAACCGTCCTCCAAGCCTTGGCGATAGCGTAGTTCTCTTTTTTGGCTTTTTGAGCAGTATGATCTTCGCGTGTCTCCACTGTCTTGGCAGCGCGCCTTCTTGCAGCGCCACATCATCTTCCAGACTATCGCCGGTAGACCATCCTCACCCAGCGCCGTCCAAGATTTTGCCACCGAAATCTGCCGTTCTACCTCCATAGTGATGGCAGGCATCTCTACTGGCTCTTTTTGAGGCCTAGTCCCTTCATCGTCAATGTTGTCCGGCAGGGGAGGGAAGAAATTTGGTCAGCAATTCTTCTGCTTGCTCCTTATGATTGGTGGTTAGACCAGGCACCCACCCGCCCCGCGGGTCCAAGATCAGGAACCTCCACCCGCACCTCAGAGGGAGGAACTGCGGGGCCTTCCCAAACGCTGCATCCTCTCCCTCTCCAACGCTCTTAATGTTTTAACGAGCTCATCAGGAGGCAATTTAGATCCTTGGGCACGATTACCGCTTATTTTCCTCACCGAATCGACGCATACTGGATATAAGAGAGCAAAATAAAGAAATCGCGTTGGGGGTCAACATGGAAAAACGCGCCAAGATCACTAGTCTGTCTATAGACTTTATGATCAGCTTGCATGTTATAACCGTATCGTATTAATTGTGTTTGATAGTCACGTGCAGGGCTAGTGATCTGGCTTATTTACTCTCCTATTTCTGAATACACTTTCACTCTTTACCCTTCAACTTACGGCTCTGCTTTTTCACAAATCAGCAAATATGCGTCCTATTCTAATCGTCTCGTTGTTTTTTTTTGGTGTCACGATGGCTACGCCAGTTAAAGAGGCATTAGCTAAGCGTGAGCCTTTGAGAGTTGTTGAAGACAAAGTGAGTGATTATTTTGAGCTAAGAGGGATGTCTATCCGGATACAGAGCTGACGCAGACAAAACCAACAGCTTCCTTACATTGTAAGTGATACTTCTAAGTGAGATTGCTACCTAGATAAAAAGCTAACGCAGATGGAACCTATAGAAAGTCGTAGGTGATAATTCTGAAGCAACAGAAATGACTACCTGGATGAAGATCTGACATATTTAATCAATAGAGCCTGCACGCAGATATTGATCCTCCTGTTGGTGCTGAAAGTAAGTGATGATTGTGAGCTCAGGGAGGTGGCCATCTGAATGCAAAGCTGACAAAGATGAAATTGATAGACTAGCGACAATCATTAGTGTAAGCGATGATTCTGAGACAATGGAGATGGCTGCCAGGATGCAAAGCTGACGCAGATGAAATCAATAGATTTCAAGCTATTGAGTTTCAAAGGAAGCTCTGCTACAACCCCTGCCTATGAAGAGGGTTTGACTGTTGAAAAAGGCCTACAGCTAGTTACACAGCTAAATTTGCTAGTAGAAGCATCTAGTATATATTCCTATATACAGGATGAATTGCCTACTCAGGCCGACCAACCAGCGAAGAGAGCTCTGCCTAGGTGTAGTGCGTGTAGGGAAATTAGCCACAGAATAAATTCATGTAAAAATCGCTATATCTAGTTGAATTAATGTGTGTTGGTTGTGATAATCGATTTTGAAATTTTATTATGGGGTTGGGTGATCGGGGCGGCCGGGTGATCGGGACGGCCGGGAATTACGTTAACTAGTTAGTGTAAGATGGGAATGCTCGCTGGCAGTCTGTCAAGCAGACGGGTCGATCGCGAAGAGATAAAACCCCTACACTCGCAGAGTGTAGGAACAGGGTAGGCAAAGCGTGACGTTGTAGAGGATTGATAGAACGAACAATAGAACCTTTCATAAAGCGGTATACCGATACCGCAACCTCATCAGCCTCCAGTAATCCTTTCATAAAGGGGGAACATGCATGTTGAATTGATATTATGGAACGAAACTATTTATCCTCCTGAAACTAAACAGCGGCTTTGTTGCTAAGGCCCTAATCACATGACTCTGAGATACTGATGTTGAGAGCAGGAATCCCCACTACATTAGTTATTTAAGTAAAAATATCACTAGTCATCAGTAGTCCAAAATATGGAGATCGGCTCCACAACTTTCAGATTGTATCTGACGACACAGGTCCTGCTTCGAGTCAAGTCATCTTCACTTCATAATACATTCAACTTGGACTCACCGAGCGGTGTGGGAAAATCCGTCTCCAGATATCCGAGAGAACCTACAAATATGGAGTGATGTGTTCTTGGTTCCACTCGAGGTCCACCTGACTATTGAGGCGCAGCCAGCCTGTAGGGTTTTAATACTGTCTGAGTTCATGTTTACTTCTGTCGGCCATCTAATAGTTTATCAATCTTTTATCCAATAGGTGCGGCTACAGAGTACGGGTACAGAAGAATCAATCCCACTTGTCACTAGTGAACCATGATCGGCACAAGAGATGGGAATTCAAACTTTTTATTTATTCAATTAGATTTGGCGCCCTTTCTCCTAGCCTGATGCGAGCTTCAGCTTATACAAATCCCGGCAAAGATCTGACGGAGCACTTGAAGATCCCTCGTTTGTATGTATCGATCGGGAAAAAGCGAGGGTCACGAATATCCTTCGCTTGTAAGCTTTGGATTGAGCCGAGAGGCTAAATATTCAGCTGAAGACCGAGCTGAACTATGGTTCCACATGAGCAGATCTATAGGAAGGTACATATGCCGATGGGGCAAGGGTATTATTATAAAAAGACGACCTAATTCTGACCCTGGACAATATCTCATTTCGGATCAATTCTAAGTATCGCAAGCACGAGTGTCTCTTCTCTTCTTGAGTCTTCAGCAAATATGCAGCTCCTTTCGATTATCGCACTTCTCGCTTTCGCGCAGGGCATTGTTGCCCGCAACCTCTGCAAAAACGGCCAGCGTTACTGCGGAAGTGCGTTCAAGCAGTTTGACAATGCCGGTATGAGAATAATAGTACACACTATATAAAGAGATGTTGCTCAACTAATATATCATAGGCAAATTCTCGAGTTTCGATGACGAGACACTGTACCTCTGTGACAGCTTCAAGGGAAGCCCACCTGGAAGCAATGGAGAAGTGAAAAAATTCAACCATTACCCCATCATCGTGCAAAACTGCCCACATAAATGCCATGTCGCAGGCGGCGGTGAAAATGATTACTGTACTGGTGAGTATTGCCCTTAGAACCCGAATTTATTGGATTCTTCTATTCTACACTCCCTTCGGTCCAGTTGGATGAAGATATCCATGCCAACCTTTATATTATAGGGGAGATTCTTTTCAACAATGACGAGAGGCTGGCAAAATGTGTCGATGCGGCTTATAAGAGAACTGCGAAATTTGCCATTAAGGCAAACACCAAGCTTGATCTGCTGAAAGTGGAAAAACAACATTATTTCCGACTGCGCAACTGTGTCAATTTCTTCCTCGGATCCCGGACTATAAACAACTCCGATGAAGAGTTCAACAAGAAGGTTGCCGAGTTGCAGACTTCCTTGAAGGAGGGTCAGAAAAAGGCCGACGAGGCATTTGAGGCCGAAGAGGCAAAGGAGGCGAAGGCGGACTAAGGCAATTGAGATAATCCGTCAAGCCAGCTCTACGGGGAGAATTCCTGTTCAGCATTTTCTCGAGGACGCTTGCTGCCTACTTTACATGTATCTATGGTTTTGCCAAATTAACCACATTCCACAAGTCCCTGGATTTATAATCGAGAAAGTCTCCTTTTAATACCTTAATGAATCCAGTTGTCCATCTGGATAGCGAAGAAGCGGAGGCTCAACAGATTCCTGATCAATATTGAATGGAACCGTAGCGTTGTTTTCTTCACAGTATTTTCTTTCTCACACATGCAAAGAAACCTGCGTCAAAACCTGGACTTAAAGAAGGTTTGTTCACATCTCACCGGATACAATTACAGAAAGGATGGATGGATGGATTTCATTTACCCTGACCTCTCACAAGAAAAGTTGATTATAAACCTCACCCACTAGGCTGAAAACAGATTCGTTTTTGGTCTAGTACGGTAAACCAACTAGAAAAGCGATATGCAGGCTACAACTACTTTCTAAATACATCTTGACTGATCTGATTGAGAGTGTTCCAAGCTGCCTGAACGGTGAACTTTGAGCCTCACCTAGTAAAGCCTGTCGTAGCCTTGTTGCCATTTGTGGTATTAGGCTGCCCTCATGGCGCGGCTATGGTGGAATTGCGAATGAGACGGACTGCAAGCGTCCAGTTTTGGCTGCATTTCTGTTAGAAAACTCGAGAATGCGGGCAAAGCTCAAGCTAAGAATCTGGACAGTTAATGTGTTGCAGATGCGGTTTTTTTCGAATCCGTTTATTTGCATGGTTGACTTGGCCTATCTTTGAGCTGGAACGGTGACAATTTATTGTGAAGACGGCGTTGAAGATCTTGAATTAGGAGTACTGATTTAGTGGGAATGATAGGTTCTCGGGTATTAGGGATCGATTGCGGTGAAGTTGTGATCGGGGAGTGGTGGTTGGTGTCGGACTCCCCTGGCTGGATGCACACCGGGCACTATCTTGGGGTGCCCGTGTTGATGCTTATTACACGCAATATGGGATCAAGCAAACAGTCGAGTCGCTCCGAGGAAATAAATACCACATCCTCCGAGAACGTCGTCTCAACAGTGCTGAGGCGCCTGAGAAGCGCCCACGTCTAAAGCACAGAAGGCGTGTTCGACAACTGGGAGGTCCCACAAGGGGATTTGGAGCACTCTCTGTTGTAGTTCAGAGGTATATGTTATTATATGATTCTAGAGGGAAACATGAGGCTATATATACAGCGAGAAGATCAAGTTGATTTCCAATCAACTTGGTTCTTCGTATACATACTTCAGGATTAATTCCGATGGTTCGGCTTGGTTCCTGATCTGCACCAGCCTCATATCACAACACTCTCGGATACCAAGGCTCATAATATCGACCGATGGCTTTAGAGAATCCCGTCGGAAGAGTCAACCGGTTCAGATGATGGTTTCGCCACGGAGAAGTCGCATTCCGGTACGCAAGCATTCCCTTTGTCGGCTTCTCTTGCTATTATGATCTGTCATCTAGTACAGTAGTAGTAGTAGTAGTATTCATTTACACTGACCCCTCGCCGAAGCGATATGCAGTATACGACAACTATATATCTGAGCATGTATACGTAGAATGATCTACTTCCTGATATAAACTTAGAGCCTCGTTACGGCCTGTCCTGGCCCATTACCGTTCTTATTATTAGGCTGCCCTTGTGGCGCATAACTATAAAACTGCTGTAATACCTCAGTGAAGTCTATTACCGCCTATACTGACTTTATATATGAGACAGTGTCTGGTTTATCTTTCTTACCTTCTTTTAAGCCTTCTAGCAGACTCGATATACTGTTGAGTATATTCCTAACTTTCCTTTTTAGTTCTACTTACAGCTTCTGTAGCTGTAGGTATTCTATTAAGATATAGGTGACTTTCTCCCATGTGCCGTACTCGTATAACTCGTCTTTGTGAAATCTGAACTGTTTTGTATAGATAGATAGCCAGTTATAGCCTGTACGTAGCTATATCGGCAGATATATATAATTCCTCAGTAGGTTCCTATACAGCTTTCGTATATACTGTGCTGGTAGGTTCCTATTGATTTTTTATAGATATATATCTTTAGTTCTTTTTCCTACGCTTAGCCTTATTAAATATAGAATTTATTATAGATAAATACATTCTCTCTTAATAGTAGTGGTTAAAAGAGGTAGGTTTTATTTAGCTTTATAGCTTTCTTTATAAGCCGGTCTACTATATTATTCCTAATATTCTTATAGTGTTCTAGAATCTACTGGAGATATAGGCTGATCTTGAATGTCTAGACCTTAGAGACTATCTGTATAATTATATAGATAACTTACTAGCCTGATTTGTTCCTTATATTTCAAATTACTTATAGAGCTGATCTACTGTTATAGAGTATTATTATAGTTGTATACCTACTGTTTCTGACTAATAGATATTAGTAGGCTATTTAAACACTATATTTATGTAATGGTTACTAAGTTGCCAGGCTAGAGACCTGTGACTAGGCAAGGATATCAGACAGTGGAGATCAGATTGGACAGTTGATACACAGACTGATTCTTGAAGAGATCAAGAATCCTGAATACTTGTGGGATGTTAAATACACTAGGGTTCGGGTGGGCCTCGATATGTAGGCGACTCGAAGGGGATTAGGATTCGGATCGGCGTCGAGTGCCTGAGGTGTTGTATACTCGGAATCCCGTGACAGTAGGGCAGTACTGGTTGAGAAGAGATTTTGATTTATTTTATAGGGAGGGGCAGTATTGAACTAATTAATATATCGTGTTTGAGGGAGAAAAATGAGGTAATAATGTTTAAAATTAAGGACACTAGGTAACGCGACGTTCGCGCGAGTGCGCTTACATTGGAGGCATATTCAAGACGTTCAATAATGAGTTGCACAAGTTAAGTCGGTAATGAGGAGAGCCGATCGATCATCGCGTTGATGGAGAGTTTGATCGAGGTCGAGGCACATCCCCAACTTGAAGGGCCGACCGAGGCAGCAAGATTGGGGGGGTTCAGCCCTGAAGTGTACGCCGCATTGTGACTCATTTGTGAGACGCGTCCACACTGAGTCGCCCCACTTCTGACAATCTCGAACGGCGATGGGGCGTCCGGCTCTAGTTCGAATATCACTAACATGCGGCGATTGCCGGTAGTGGATATTCTGATAACGCCCAGCCTTTTTGTCGAATTAATCAAGCCGTTGTTTCTCAGGTTCAGTCTATTTGGCAGTAACCAGTCAACTCTTTCCAGAAGGTCTCAATAACTTAGTCCTTTGTCTGCTATCGTCAATTTGAATGTGCACCATGAAACCACTAGTAGTACGCGGTATTTTCAACGCCTTGAAATTCCATCCGGAACTTGAATTCAACTTGATGGTACACTGAAAGAAATTCCAAGGTTTATTTTGTTTCATATTACAATAAAACTTCAGGAATACACAATAATCAAGCTTTCCTGTGCTTTAATAAATGAAATCGTCGTTGATGATGTCATCAATATATCTCGACGTCAGAATTAGTATTGAATGCGATCGATAAAAACAGCAAGACCCCCTAAATAAGCCACTGCAATTTGAGTACACAAACACCGGCTACCTAGGTATATTTCACGATTGTGTCTAGGCTACTAGTATATAGGAGCACCTTGGAAACGTCAAGATGTATGTTGCAACCCAAATGGAATCTCGTTCAAGGTCTTCTAACAATGTGGGTAGGAATCGTCTTACTGCGCCCGTTGTGAGCATTATTGGAGTCATAGGAGGGACTACCTTAATGTTTCGCTACCTTTCTCCCAACAAAGACGGCTCCTTTGTATCCGACGAGGATCGACAGAGAGTACGGGGCGGGACTGATGGAACATCCCCGTTTGGAACGGTCGCTGGCAGGCCCCCACGAAGCACCGGCGGGTCGGGATGAGGCTGAAGGTGGATTTACTATTGGTTTAAGTACTATTATTTAAGAAAACTGAATAACAACAACCCTCCTCTCTCTATCCTAAATAATGATTCAGACCAAGATGACTTGCCATATGCAAAGGTAGACAGTACCCCACACCTACAATATACAATGGAATATTCTTTCAAAATATCAATAAAAATAGAGATGTTTCAATCATTAGAAAATTAAATATTTCCAATGACTCACAAAGGCAGGAAGTGGAGGTATCAGTTTGTTGTTTGCAGGGGGTTGTCCCTTCATCAGGCACCACCAGGCAACAACACACAAACCCCTGCAACCTCATTTCAACATCACCCCGCATCAAAACCAGCCAAGTGAACGAAGAAATACTTTGCACCTCACTCGATGCTCAAAAATACTTCTCAGACACCTCTACAATCATCGTACTGCCCACTGCCTCTTTCGTTCTCGCCATGCCGGCCAGTGAGTTTCGCGCTCATCGCCAAGAAGCTTCCCAACCAGGCCGGTATGCTCACTTGAGGGACGTGAGATCTGGAGATTTGGATTACTCTATTTCATTCATATCGAGCTTACCCGGAGTCGAACAGTCCGAAATCGAATTTCTACTGATGGTTAGCGGTGGGTCGGGTGAATTCCAGCATCAATAAACTGCTATGATTAATATCGACCAGATGCCCACGATTACCCCGATAGCCATAGCTTTCTCGCCAGTGTGTCCAGTCATGAGACTACAGATCAAGTGGCGACACTCATCCGAAAATGTCAGGAGCCACGTCGCTTGTCACGCCTCAGCATCCACGATGCTTTGATGGTCATCGATAACCTGATGTCTCCCGCCGCTCTATCCACAAACCATAGTGAATTTAATTCGACTTCCGAGGAAGACACACCCGAGTCCGAAGGTCTGAATGAATTTGATGACAGCTTTGACTTTGGTGATGGGTACGAATGGGAATCATGTCCACAGTCCGCCTCGCTTCTTCACGAAATGCGCAATCGTGATCTACAGACCGCCAGTGCACACGGGTTTCAAGTCGGATACATTGAAGATTCAATAGGGAAATCGATAGTTTCTGTGTCCTGCCAAATCGCTCAGCTGGATATATCCAACGATGCGCTGCGAGCCTGGGGTATTGACCGCTCGGAAAATCTCATTCTACTCATCCGGTATCCCAGATCGTACCAGTCCCTGCAGGAAATCCTCCAGACTCGCGAGATTTCCCTCTCCGGTATTGAGATGCGAGTGGGTCTTTGTGAGTATAGTTTCACCTCGCCGCATGTTGCTAGGGATATTTTCAAGGGTGATAAGATGCTGCCGAATGAAAAAGATCTCTCTTCCGACCTGGATATGCAACCAAGGCTCAGAGATTTGTTTATTTCATACTCTCTGCACCACGTCTTGAATGAAAGATTTCTTGCCATCGCCAAGCTTCGAAGGGACTTCAATCTCTCGTGGACAGGTGCAGAGCTCTTCTGTCATGAAATGCAAGGGAAGACAATCGATCCTGCTGGGCCGGATGAAAAATATTGGGCTGTGGATGAATGGTTGACTCCTGTTCCTCATCTCATGGAGTCTGATCATTTTGCAAATGCTGTAATGAAAGTGGAACTTATGTCATTGCCACTTCTTGCCATGCAATACACCCTCCGCCACTTTGTTAGATGCCCACAATTCTGTCTAGTCTGCCATTGCAAGACTGGTGATCGGTTCGAATCCCTGAAACCCTACGTCTGCTCCCGTGGTCTATGTCTTTTCCAGTACTTGGAGCTGGGGTTGGGCGCCAGCATTGAGTGTGAGGTTCGGTCAAAGCCGATGGTTGTTGACCTCCTAGTGTCTCTCGCATATGCGAGTGCAATATCCGGGCATCTTGAATCATTCCCAGATGGCCTACGTCTGAAGGTCCCGCTTAAGAACAGCTATGCTTCTGATCAGACTGGAGAGATGCAAAATACCGATCTCATAACCCGGGCCCTTTTAGATCCAGTGACTATGATTCTTTCCGGCTCAGGTGTGGAAAAGCTTGACTCGGGTGATTGGATCATGATACGAGATGCAGAGCCTGCCCAGCCCACGGTCACCTGGCATTGCCAAGTTACGCGAATACCTCTCAAGGCATCCGACTTTATTCTATCCGACCCAGTGAAAATTACCAATCAAATTACTTCCCCACTCCCTACAGCAACACAGAACTGGATACCTCCCTATTCCAATGTGACAAAACATCATGTCAGATTCTCTCGTTACGATCAAGACTTTGAAGCATTGTCGACTCAAGACAAACGAGGTGCCATCAAGCTGCTATTGGATACTTTGCCAAGCATCAGTCAACTCGCAAATCTCCTCGGCGAATCCAGCACTCGGGGTCTTCGCTCATGCCTGGAGGGCAAGGTTAGCCCAGCAGCCTTCGACTTACTTCGTTGGATCATAGCCTCGAACCGATCATACATTGTGCATGAAACCGAGAAATCGGCACATCACCACGAGCAGATGACTAAACATGTTCGATTTCGCTTCATACAGGGAGCTCCTGATAGGGAGCAACACTTCCTGAAAGCCGTACAAACTCACGCAAAAGACATTCAGCCCTCGACGATTTCCGCATGGCACGGAAGTCCCCTTTACAACTGGCACGGCATCCTGCGAGAGGGGCTTCATTTTCGAAAGATTGCGAATGGTCGTGCCAATGGGAATGGGATTTACCTTTCCGATAATTTTGCAACATCGTTGTCCTTCTCTACGAGAGCTATGGGAAGTAGGAATTGGCCACAAAGCGTGCTGGACATGCAGTACGTTATCTCTCTCAACGAGATCGTGAACTGCCCAGATAAATTTGTCTGTAAAATGCCACACTACGTTGTGCAATTTATAGACTGGATTCAACCGAGATATCTTCTTGTCGGTGGAAAGGTTTCCTCTCTACAACCAGTCACCCCGTTCGGTGTGTCTCCGCCACAGGGACCAAAGGCAGAACAGCCGATGTCGAAGGCCGGTTTCATTAACTTGACAGAAGATGATGATGATGGACCCAGTCAAACCAAAGCCAACATAGAAAGCTGTGAAGAGGCTCCTCAAAGTATCCCCAGTAACCCTAGTGTTAATTCGTCTTCGGATTCCCTCCTTTTCTGCAAAAATGGATGTCAAGCATTGGAATGAAGAAAGAGAAATGATGGACAGGGTGTCAAAGAAGGCACGAAAGTACTCCGCTGGCCAGCTGGATGCTATCTGGAACTCACTCAACTCTGAAGATGGAGGCTTACTCCTTCCGTAGAGAACTTACCTGAGAGAATAATAGATCTATCTATTTCTACGACAATGTCTAACAGGGTGCTGTAAAACCTTTGCGCTGTGGACTTCACGACACAGTAATGTCTGCCTACGAATAACTAGTAATAGTTATGGAAATAGGCGCAGCATAAATCAAGCGCATTCCTGCCCAGCTCGACTCCCCTTTATGTCAAGCCATGCACTCCTTCCTTGGATTCGCGCAATCGAAAAGTTTTGACTTTTGCTGTGACATTGATCCGACACCAGTTTTAGGTATACGACGACACAAGGACTCTATCCTTCTAGACGCGAGACAGGGGCTTTTATTAGAAGCATTTCCACCTCAGCTTGAAATATGATTGTGGTGAGCCACTGATGCCCCCAATTGGAATGGAACTGATTTTCATTCCCCCACTCAAAGAAAGAAATGACGCTTCGCTAAAGCACCTACTACCCGAAAATAACAATATACAAATGTCGAACACCAGAAATGGAGTCAGGCCTGCTGAACATGGTCCGGAGATCCGTATATGAAACATCCACCCGCAAGTTAAGGTCGAATATAACATCCCTGGAGGTCATCATATTCGGACTGCCGCTTCAACTTGCTCAGAGCTTCTTCTATTTGTACCCAGGCTCGAGGCAACAAAGTCCCCATAAGCCAATAATTCCCAGCAAAATCCTGACCAAGCATATTGAAAATATTGAAGCCAACATACCCCGGCCCGATTGCCTCGTTGTAGTAGTTGACCATCGTCCCTGGAGGATTTTGCCGTTTCTCACCAGCATCACCTCTCCTTACAACGGCTGGCGAAAAGTCGACAACTTTCATTAATTTGGCCTTCAGGAGGTTGTTGAAGATGATCGGTACCATATTTGATTCTCCAAATAAAAGTTTTGGTTCCCTCCCTGCATCTTTTTCATGGAATACTTCACGCAGTAAAGTCAACCCCTGATTTTCTGTTGCTTGCTCCGTGAGATGTTCTCGATGCTGTAGAGCGATAGAGCCGACAGTGTCGGAGCCCGCTTTTCCAGATAAAAATGTGTATGTTCCCAGGACCATATTCTGAATGAAGACACCCGCTGATTGGGCAAGAAGCGGAATTCGATATCGCGCATTCATTAAATTCAAAATGGTCACCGGTCGATTATTAGGCTCAGATGCCGTGAATGCTTTGGCCACCCAAGCTGTGAGTATGTCGCTGTCGCTAACAAATGGAGGTTTTTCCTCGTCATAGATATTCTCGGCGATCTCCCGATAGGCCTGTTCCTTCAATCTGAAGAAAGCATCCTTTGGCAAGAATATCACACGTCGTTCTCGGTTAGAATTCCATAATTTATCCCACATGAAACGAAGCATGAACATGATAAAGCTTGGGCCTTGTAGACGCTTCCCCTCGACTTTCAACTCTTCCAGAGAGTCATCCGCACTGGTGATCATCGGGTGTCGACAAATATCTTCTCGCGCGCCGAGGACCTCCGGAACTTCATCTTCGCGACCAGCCAAGACCGAAGACCATCCGGTCAGTAAGGCATGTCCCCCCATTGCATCCATTAGAAGGTGGGGCCATGTGAGCGCAACTGTTGTCGCATCTGCAAAGGTTGTCACATGCAGGGACACAATGGGCTCGTTTTGACGTATCATATTATCAAAAGTTGGGAAATTTGGCCGAGCGATAAATGGTCGCGTCTCTGTGGTGATAGTCTGTACAGAGGGACCTTCCGTCTCTTTGGGAAATTTCCTGCCGATCGGATGATCCTCCAACCTGGTGTCGTGAGAATTATGAGTGAAGAAGACTGTTCTGTGTTCCAGTCCTTTGGATATCGGGACATGAATCTCCAGTTTCCCATTATCCTGCTCAATGTTAGGAATCAGGCTCCGTAACGAAAAAGAAAAGTCTTTCAGCTCGCCCTCATACCTTGAATCGTAAACGCCCACCTAGTTTCTTCCAGTCGCCCATCCTTAACAGCTTTGATAAAGCCTCATTCAACTTTTCAGCATCAAGAACATCATTAAACCGCATCATCCAGTTGACGAAACAATGATTGACCTTGCTGTCGTCCAAGGAATGCAAGGGGTATACATCATGGGGGATGTCGGGGTGCGCTTCAATATCCATCATCACAACAAGAATGTGTTCATGGTTAACATCACGACTTCTCGATGTTGGGAGCAGGGGCAGTTTTGAAGCAGGCCGCCAAGGGCGAAGATCGAAGTCAGAGGAGCCATTATTGAGCCGGTTCCTGATTTCAGAGCAATGGCGGGTCTCGGTCTCACAGCAGAACCCTTGAAGATCACCCCCGAAGCCGCGTCGGAAGAGGGAGAGATCGACGTATTTTGGAGTTTCGACAAGTCAGTCTGTGATCCAGGGGCTATTGGACCGCGGGTCGTCATTGTTCAGAAAGTCAATGAATGGCGTACCCACTCTTTTCTTTTCTGCTTCGAGACGTGGAGTCGCCATCGTCATTGTCGTCGCTGATCCCGCTAGGCAGCGATCCCAATCTCTTCCTTCACTACTTCGTAGAGTCTGCGAATATTAGTATTTCTTTTTGTGAGGTCTCGAGCAACAGCGACCGATGAAAATGGTCCTCTTTAACATGAGACAAAGGGCTTACCTAGTCAAGTTTCGTATCTCGTCTCATGGACCAAGTTTCGGGAAATGCGACCGACTCAAATTTCAGACAACTCGCACAAGGTTTTACTTCTGATTGCCAAATAATGCGCAATTAAACGCCCTTTGGGAAACACTTGATGTCTCCGCAGCAAGAATTAACCTACAAATATCGTTATTAATTTAGGCGGGGCACATTGGGGGCTGAATGGCTCACAGAACTAGCCCTCTTCAGGCAAGGGGGGTTGCATCCTGCGGGGAATCCCCAAACATTGCATCTTCAAACTCTTCCTGGACAGCAGCAAACATTTGCCAAACACCAAAATCCCAAATTTGAAATGGAGCAGACCCGCCGACCACTGACAGTGGCAGTCATTGGCGTCGGCCAGATGGGCATCAGCCACGCGTTGGCTTACCACCACAATCCAGGCTTCGAGATCGTCGCTCTTGTTAACCGAAGTCCCATCAAACACCTTCCGGAAGAGCTAATAATTTATCAAACTCTTCTTGATATACAGGACGCACTTTGCCTCAAGCCAGATGTAGTATCGATTAATACGCACACGGCAACACATGCTAACTACGCTGTGGCCGCGATGGAAGCCGGCGCCCACGTCTTTGTTGAGAAACCGTTAGCCGCGACAGTCGCAGAAGCGGAGGAAGTCGTGAACACAGCACGCCGCACAAATCGGAAGTTAGTGATCGGGTATATCCTTCGACACCACCCAAGCTGGGTGGAATTTATTCGTCAGGCCAGGCAGCTTGGTCCGCCTTTTGTGATGCGGATGAACTTGAATCAACGATCAACGGGCGAGGCGTGGAATATCCACAAACGACTTCTTCAAGATGCGAAGAACCCTGTCGTAGATTGCGGGGTGCATTACTTGGACGTAATGCTTCAAATCACCGATAGTAAGCCGGTTCAGGTTCGTGGTATGGGTCTTGCTCTCAGTGATGAGATCCCGGCAGGCGATCAGGTCAATTATGGACATTTGCAGGTTCTTTTCGGTGATGGTTCGGTTGGCTGGTACGAAGCTGGTTGGGGCCCGATGATGTCCGAGACCGCGTATTTTGTCAAAGACGTGATCAGTCCGAAGGGGTCCGTCTCTATCGTTATGAATGAGACTAGTGTCACAGCTGCCGGTGGCTCTGCTGACGTAGATAGCCACACGAAGACGTCGAAGATACGTGTTAGCACTGTCGTTGATGGAATTCCGCGTGATGATATACTTTCAACAGAGGACGAACCGGGTCATAATGAGCTTTGCGCCCGCGAACAGCAGTTTTTGCTCGATTCGATACTCGAAGATCGAGATTTATCTCAACATATGGAAGACGCGGTTCGATCGCTGAGCATTGTACTTGCTGCAGATGCTTCGATGCGTTCTAATCGCGCAGTTGATCTTCCTTGATCCTATAATTAGTTCTCTCACACTTGAATCATCATTTCACACTCAGCCCTGTTAACCTACGTCAAAACCTACCTTACTGTCGCTGTTTCTAAGGGCTACAATCTAAATTACCCCGTTGAATACCATTCATTTTTATATTATGTATGGATTTTACTGACTATTGGCGGGCTATACTACTAACAAGTAGGTAACTCAGATCATGTGCCATTGATTAATATTGACATCTGTCGAAGATTAGCATTCTTCAAGTTCGAATCGCAGGGTAATAGTTTCCAACACCCCCGTCCAGGATACAATTCGAGAAATACGTCGAGTACACCTAGTAAATGCACCCAAAACAAAGTACCCCACGACTTTACCAATCCTCGTCCCAAGTATCGCGTGGTACTCCGGGTTGGGTACTCCCATATTCGCCGTTCATCATCGGGCCACGAAAGCCCTCGCTCAGCTGTGTAGAGAAGATTCTTGATCAGATGCTTAGTGTCTTCATTAATGACGATATTGAAAAAGATATGACGAAGTGTGTCAAGTGGATACTCCTTCTCATAAGCAACCTTGATAAGCTCTGAGATCCAGGGACGCGGGGCTCCGAGAACTCGTTCAATGAGTGTAATAAAAATCACACTCTTGGCAATTGTTCCCTCCAAGCGGTGGCTAGGATGATTGTGAGAAGTCATCTGAAATTCCAGTTTGATTCCAATACCCGAGCAATCTGAGTTCGCTGAGACTGATCCGGTAACCGGTATTCCAAAGGTGATTGCATCATGGAGACATGATGATGGGAAGGATGCGGCAAACTGTCGAATTGACCAGCCTTGTTGAGAAAGATCAGTAAACTTTAGGGAAATTCGAGGAACGAAACACCCTTGCACTCTTGGATCCTCAATCCAACGATGAATATTGGTTCCTGCTTCAACATATTCCTCCCATTCGGTATGCTCAGGGCGTTTGCGAGACCATTGCTCGGAAGGAGGATCGAATTTTTCACACATGCTGTCAACAATAGTCAACTACTATTTCCGAATGCAGAGATGTCTCTTCATATATCAGCGTACCTGTCAAAATTTAAATGTGATATTTTGGATGCAATCGATATCGATGTTTGACACACTCTGGTTAAACAAATCTGAGGTTATGCTGATGGTTGGAAGCGATGAGAGCACTGGAAGGCAGCTCTTATATTGAAGGACCTCAGTTTGGGTTTGTCAAATGATAGATCTCAGCAAAGATGGACGAACAAAGAGACACAATTTCGCCAGATGTCTCGAGATAGTTGAATAGAGCCATTGTTTAGTACAATGAGAACAAAGAAGCGCACATCAACAATCCATTATCAATTCCCCGTTAACTAGTCATGACTGCCCAGGTGCCTCTGTTACTCTATCTATGGATTTTTATCCTCCCCAGTGATGACTCCTAACTTGAAAATAGACAGTGCCCAGGTGTTATTATGGCAATATCTATTTTCAGAAGTCCTGTAACGAATTGATAACTTGAATTAGGTATGAAACAATAAATTTGCCGGGTCAACGTTTCCAGTTCTACTATATCCTAAAGTCCAGCTTCTCGAACTTGAAAGTTCCCGTCATCTTCACCTAGTTGTGACTCGGATCTCTGCATCCTTTCCGAATATACGTTTCACGAGTTGGATCTCCTTCATACCGAATGGCTTCCCACTGGCCAATGCCATACTCAGGACCAACCTCCTTTACGCCTCTGCCGCCACCACCGATAATCATATTTGCCGGTCGGTATTCCGGGTTTGATTGCAGGCGACGAACAGCCGATCCGTGAATCAGAGCGTCGGATGGAATGTCTCGGGCCTGACCACGATGTAGCGGCCAGCAAACCATTTTCCACGAACCATCAGGTTGCATGTCAGACCGACGAATGGGAAGATATTCCATCAACCGCCACGCCAGAACAGAGATAGGGGAGACACCTTCGCCAAAGCCTATTCGATCATGGAGTAGGCCTTCCGTGCTCGACTGTCGAAGCGCTTCCTTGAAGTGGGTGCTTGCTGAAGAATCTTCTGCCCAGTGCTCCAGGCATTTGTATTTGTACAACTTTTCCTGGTCGAACTCAATACCGGCGCGCTGTGCCTCCTGGACCATCCAAACCAATGGGGCGTGACTGAGCTGGAACTTCTCATCTCCTTCGAGTTGAAATCCACCGCCGATGTCTGCATGTCCACCTGGAAACCAAAGTTCTTGCAGGTCCTGACTGCCGTCATCGGCTTTCTGCTTTGAGCCACGGAGAGCCGAGCCCTTTTCGTTGACATCGCCATTTTCGCTCTCGGAATCATCCACGGACTGGGGGACGCCAGGTACAACTAGCGGCTCAGTTTTGACAGGATCCAGCCGCTCTTTGTATGTGGTACTTCGGCTACCTGCTGCGTTTCCTGAATTCACGCCAGAGTCCAGCAGTACTGGCTGAAACTTGACCCTGCGTTCGTCAATGCTTACCGCGTGTCTGATCACACGAGCGGTCGGCATTGTGTCATTGTTGATTTCGAAATCAGCAATGCTATTGACGGTGTCAAATAGACCCAAGAACTTCACCCTAGTCACCCGGCGACATAAGGTCTCACGACAATTATTCAGGAAGTCTGTCGCCTGTTTCCTTTTCTGTGTTCCCTCGTATCGGGTTAATTTCCATTGCGAAAAGGCATCCCATATAAACGGGATCATTTCCTCGTTATCCGGGCCCAGTAGTCCAGCGTAGTCGAGCATCTCTGCGAGAAATCGAGCGGTGTAAGCTCCACGAGAGAAGCCGAAAATAAAGATATTTCCATCTCCCCGGTAGTGTCGCATCAGAAACCTGTAGCCACCCAAGACGTGCTGATCAAACGACTCCCCTAGAGCCTGACTGATTGTCTTGCTCTTTCCTAAATGGCTACTCTTCTTCAGTGTCTTTGCTGCTAGGGACCCTGGTGTGATTTCAGTTCCAATGCCCGCTGAGATGTGTTAGCTCGGGAAACTATGTCTGTGATGAGTTGTGATTAGGGGCGGGCCGAGATCATACGCTGATAGTAAACCACTGTTAAGGTATTAGATTAGTCTGAGTCGCACGTGTAAAGGAAGTAAATCCAAACTCACACTGCTCATCCGTTCTTTGCAACATCCGACAGATCTTCAGAATATTTGTCTCCGTGCCATCAGCACGAAAAGTATTCCCCGTTCCATCAAAACAAAGGACGATTTGAATCGGCTTAGGTTGCGACATCTTTCTTCACTGAAGCTTCAAGACTAGAAGTTGAAGTTGAAGATTTGCGACCGACGGGCGCAGCATGAGCGATCGCTTTATTTGAATGCACTGACCATCACTGTTCATGTCCAGCTATGCCTATCATGACAGTTTCGGGTTAGCTCTGCTTACAATGAAGACCAACTTCTGTCGGAACAGAAATGTACGTCCAATCAGGTCCATGGGTAGTTGTCTAATTTTTGTTATGTTCGCTCACATACTAATTTGTATGCGACCGACCATGACTAAGACTCTTGGCTAAGTTACAATGATACATTCTGACCATGCCTTACAATACCAATTCCCCACTCATACCGACACACCCCTCAGTATTCAAAGCACCTGAGGTTTCCAATATCAGCGTGTTGAATGCTGTATCCAATCGATGTAGACCGTTGAAGGTCCCAAATAGGCAGGAACGGCTGCCTCAGTCCTCAATATATCTTCGAACATCATGTAATCGAAGCATTTGGACAAATCGTTCGTGGTTTTGCCGTGTGAGCGGCTTAGTGAGGCCATCCGCAGCCATCTCTGCGGTGGGCACCCATCTGATCGTCAACCTACCGTCTGCCACTTCTTGTCGAAGCCAGTGGTTGTGTATATCGATGTGCTTGAGCTTCGTATGCAGTTTGGTGTTGGTGCTGGTGATCAGATCGACAGTTTGTCTATTGTCACACCGTAGTGTAATCTCATGGTTTGGTCGGAAACCAAGGTGGCGTAGAAGGCGAATCGTATATTGCATCGCCCGAGCGGCCTCCGATAGAGCAAGCAGCTCTGCTTCAGTGGTTGAGGTAGTGACAGTGCGTAGCTTTGACGCCTTCCAGTCAACTGGTCCTCCATATATCTGACATAGATATCCAGCAGAGCTCGTCTTGTCGAGGTTATCTGCGAATGAGGCATCGCTTGCGAATGCAATAGATTCCAACCCACTACCAATTCCATATGCAATTGCCCAAAATCGTGTATGATATAGGTAGGTGATCACTCGATCAATAGCATCAATATGCTGAGGTCCCGGATTGGTCAAGAACTGTGCCAATCGAGCAGTGGCTTTCGCGGCATCAACGCGGGTGATTGTAGTAGCATACTGAGCTGATCCCAATTTGGTCGAGAACTCTTCAATATACTCTCTGCGCGGTGTACCGTCGTAAGGCTTTAGGCTATCAGGTGCTGTCATTGGCGTCGTCACCCGGGGCTTATTCACAAGGTTGAATTTGACCGCCATATTCGCAATATAGGCATCCTGACACAACCACAGCTTCTTCATTGATCGATCGCGTATGATCCGAATACCCAGAAACCAGCGGGCATCTCCATGATCTGTAAGCTCCCAGTGTGTGTGGAGCTGTCGCTCGATCTCATAGGCGCGATCTCGTTGATCAGGTGCGCTAGCCAGAATAATATCATCCACGTAGAAGAATACAATAATTCCCTTACCAACGAACACACAAGGATCCTCAGGTAGTGGTGTCAAACCAAGCTTACCTAACACGCTACAGGCCTCCTGCTGCCAAAGCTTTGGCGAGGTCCTTAGGCCATACAGTGCCTTCACAAGCTTCCAGCATACTGCTTTCGGCAGGTTTGATCCATCCGGTGGCTTCACATACACCGGCTTCGGTAGTGTACTGTTCAGGAAGGCATTTACTGCATCAAATTGCCTTAGATCCCAGTCAAACGCAGCAACTAAACCGAAGATAATCCGTGCCGTACGGGCAGCGAGGGTAGCAGCACGCTTCTCCTCTGAAGTTACTCTCTCAAGGTCACCTCTCACACATAGACGAGCTTTGTGTTTCAATAGGTTGCCATCCTGGTCAAACTTATAGTCAAAGACCCAACGTAGTGGCAAGACCTGAACAGATCGATCATTCGGACGATCAACCACTTCAAACGTGCCTTTGCTTTTCAAGTTCCGAACCTCCAGGGCGGCTGCTGCCATGAATGCGTCACGGTTAGAGTGTCGGACCATATCATTCCAGTGCTCAGGTGCTGATGGCAGGTCGTCTCGGTGACGACTCGGTTTCTCAGCGTTCAACGCAGTAGCGAATGCATATAACAACTCAGGTGGTTCGACCGACAGTTCGTCCTCGGTAACCAGATATGTATAGTCATCTCGCCGTGTTGACCTACGCTCGCGCTTACCCTCAATAATATTGGAAGGGCTCAACGACAGATCAATGTCTCGAGGTGCTACAGCCAGCAACGGCGTAGCCAGTTCTTCGTGTAATTGAGCTTCACTCTCAGATAGAGGCTCCGGTTCAAACAACTCATTCTGCTGCTGCTGAGGCTGGTCATCCTGCTGATCTTCGTTTCTTGTAGAATTCGAAGTCGTTTCTTTGTTCACCCCCTCAGTCTCTGTAGCAGGTTTTCCGGCCGGAAAACGATGTCCCAGCGGAGACTGTTGAGATGGTCTTTCAATAGTAGGTGGCGGAGTATACTGTTGTACAGCCTCAAGATGAGTAGGTGCAGGTGTCGCTTCACGATCAGCTACTTCCTCAGGGTCATCTTCACTGCTATCCTCAATTTCAGGCTCTCTACTAACGCTCTCAGCATCAGTAGGTGCTGGATTCGATTGTTCGGCCTCAGATTCATGTCCGATTCGTCTCTCAATCCAGTCGTCAGGGAGACCTATTTCGTGGTGAATAACGCGCCATTCCTCACGGTCGTTGAGGATATCACGGGTTTCTGGGATCGGTAGTGGGTGCTCCCTCCAAAACTGTATGCCAGGGTGCCAGCGACACGATTCATCGAATACTGCGTCGCGTACGGTTTGAATCCTACCCGACGAGGGCATCCAAACTCGCCACACATTCGAAGCCTGATAACCAACCAAGAAACCAACTTCCGCACGAGGGCGAAGTTTGTGAGAACGGGGAATATTCGGTATCCGGCAATAGGTGAGACTGCCATACAATCTCAGACATGACAGGTCTGACATTCTCACAAAGTTCTGGTCCAGGTGTGATCGTGCTTCATCCCAGGGCACTATCCAACTTCCATCCTCTAGATGGGTTGGAGTCCTGTTCAGTATATACACCGCAGCGTATACCATCTCTGGCCACAGGCCCTCAGGCAATTGGCCCTCAATACGCAGCTTTCTGGCCTTATGAATGACGACACCCCCTGAGCGTTCGCCGGGGCCGTTCATCTCAGCGCTATGTACCACAGTATGTGTCACCACAAAGCCCATTCCCTCGAGCTCTCGTTCAGTATCAGCTGTCACTGATCTCTCGTTATCTGAGTGAATTCCAATCAGGGGTATCTTCAGTAAACGGGTGGCCAGATACAAAAACGCCCTTATTCCGTTTTGACACTCTGATTTACGCGCGTGCGTATACACCCAGTGGAACCGAATGCCTGATACATAGAAATGTGTGATATATCGGTGGCCATTATGTGACTCCTTTGGCATTTCGATTAGGTCGTAATACAGCTGGCCAAACCTGCCAAACGTACGACCTACCGGTCTCCGTGATATCTGACGTGGTGCGTGTGACATACTACACACCTGGCACGGGGACTCAGTTATGCCAGTAGCCTCAGGGTCCTTGATTTTGATTCCTTCTACCATCTCAGCTGTTTTCTTCACTGCATTTGGATGTATATGGCCCAATCTGCGATGCCACACATCCGACGATGCCTCAGAGATCCTTGGTGCAATCGATTTCCGCACTGCCATTGCGTACTCGATATCACACTCACTCTCTAAGGTGGCAGTTCCATCGGCTAGTCAATTAGTTGCATCACCCTGTGGCTTATCAAACAGCCACAGTTTCGCATTATCATTCCAGGCTACACGTGCAAATGGGATGCCTCTCGGATCTCTTATACAGTTGTTCATCTCATCCCATTGGCAGCCACGTTCCTTTGCACAACCATACGAGACTAGGTTGGCTTGGAAGGTAGGTGAATGACAGGCATTATGCAATTTGACGCTGCTTCGCGCACCCGTTCTAGGGTCAATACAGGACATTACTGCAGTTCCATACCCTAAGGTGCGAGTGACACTGTCACCAGTTTTGACGACTGATTCATCAGGGGTATACTCAATGAACAGATCTCGGTCCACACAGATATGGCGATGAGTTGCTGTATCAAATACCCATTCATCCCTAAGGTGAGGCCTTTGATTAAGACAATTCAGTGCCAGCGTAGTCATTGACCAAGTACCTAGGGCAGCACCCTGTTTTTCAGCTGAATAATACTGATTGGCTGACTTGATCTCCTTGTCAATAAACTCCTTCCAATCAGGATGATCCTTGAGCATCTGGTTGATCCTTCCTTGAGTTCTCGAATCGGCACTCCAATTGGCCGATCTCTCCTTTTCATTGATATATGGACATTCCCATGGTTTGTGGTTTCTTTTACCACACGGGCACCATCGCTCAGCCATTGGCACATCCTTCAACGACCGCTTCTTAGCCGGTTTTGTTGCACTTGGCGAATCTGGTACAGCCTCAGTGCTACCTTGAAGAGTTGAGAATGCAGCTCTTGGTGCTGAATGACCTCGGAGATTGGTCGGTGGCGCTGGTGCTGGTGCGCTACCAAAGTGCTCGCGGTAGTGAGCCAGGAAGTCATTCACCAATGTACTATTATCCATCTTGGTGCTCTCGATCGTGATAGGTCGAAGTTGTTGTGTGTGCCACATTGGTGCCAAATGCTTCACTGCTAACAGGAAGTCCTTGTTAAACTTCATTTGGGTCTCACCAATAGCAATCATCCGATCTCTCATCTTCTCCCAACGACGTACAAATGCTTTTACATCCTCACCTTTCCGCGGTGGATACACTGCATTGTACATATAGTCCTGGCGATATTCCTCATTCAGGTTTCCAGAGTCAGAGTATCGGTCTCTCAACATCACTAGACGTCCATGCACAGTAGGTTTATCATACAGCTGATCCCTAACTGCAGGTTCAACGGTTGCCATAATCACTCTCTTGATATTGGCTAGTCCTCTCTCCTCTCGATCCCATCGCTGA